CAATGAAAGAGATCAAAGTGTTTTCGACAATTCAGTGTAAAAAAAATCGGTCAAATACAATGCTTCCATTCGGAAGGAAAAATAATGAACCGATCGATTCTCCACCGGAAGTCTCCAGACCCCCGGAATCTTGTTGACTCGCGCATTCATCTCTGTTTTATTCATCTCCAATTCTTTATTCCCCCGCTCCCTCCCATTACTTTTTTGTCTTTCGCCCTTCCTCTTGAATCGAGCAAGGTGCATCCGCTCGTTAGTTTGATTTACGAACTACCGGCTCTGAAAATCGACTGGGACTTGTGCCCTCGGTGGAGAATAATCTTCTTCACCCTCTCTCGAATCCCTCTCCCTCATTCTCCCACGTCGACAATTTTATCTCTGAAAAATCCCCCGAGGATGGAAAGGGAGCAAAAAAACAGTGGAGGTATTTACGAACATTCTTATCTCGCGTTTGTATTTACACCAGGGATAGGGGCTTTTATCTTACCGACTTATTTTTGAGGGGTACGTAAGACAAGTAGGGCCCTTCAAGGATAATATCACATCATTTTTACACGCTTTTTGCTTAATAAACCACTTTGGTTTATGATTACCTTTTTATCTCCTACAATTATTTACTCTACGTCACTTCTCCCACTCTGTTTCTATTCAGGCGACGGTGGTTCAGTCAGGGAATTGTTCTACTTAATGAATATCGAGAGGTTTTTATTTCATTCACTAGCGAAGTGATAAAACTGTACAAGTCGGCTCCTCTCCCAGTTGGGTTTTTGAGGAATATTTCCGAATCTGAGGGAGATAGCGAAATTTTCGTAATTACATTTGTTGAAGCTCTTAATCGGCTCTACAAAAAAGGTTATAACAAAAATTTTGCTATCTCCCTTAGATCCCAAGATATTCATTGAAAACCGCCGAATGTTCCTTCACCTTTACGTTCAGGCCCTCAGTTTTTGCCTCTAATATTCCGACCCTCATTTTTTCACCTCCACTTTATGACCCTTACATTCTCACACTCAGTATCTGACCCTCATATTCGCTTGGCACAACCCGGGCTGGTCCGAAATAATCGTTCTAGAATTGAAACACCCATCCCCCATTCGAGTGTAAAATATTTATTTTTCTCACGAATTAACGAATTAACGAATCTCACGCTTTAACGAATCTATCAAAATCTCATCTAAAATCCTCCAATTGAATTCTCGGATGCACTCCGGGACTTCACCCCCAAACTAAATCGTCCCACCATTGACTCTCACTCATTACAATTATTTATTCCCATTTCAATACGTATCCGAGCGCGCCAAAGTGTACGTAACACAAAAAATAAGTTGTGGAGACTCTCCCGCGACCAGAAAACCGGCTACCGTCGCATTCCATCGGATACAGGACGTGGGAGACGCCTCCTGGCGCCTTCCACCACCCGCGGCGACTACGATCTGTACACCTCTTTCTCCCTCACTCTCATCTCTCGATTCCATTCGATAACGAGAATTCAATAAAAAGGGGCATCGCACGGGGTATCGGGCTTGTGGCAAAACAATGTTGAGAAAAATAAATGAGTGAGATGAAATAAAAAACTACGTCGTGATTGATCATGTCACCGGTTGGATGACTGCGACGAGGCGCCATCCTGAATCCAAAAATTTTTGCTTCAATTATCCATTGCCTCCGGTTATTTTTTCCTCTCTCTATCTCTCTCTCTCTATCTCTCTCTCTCTCTCTCTGTCTCTGTCGACATCTGGCGAATTGATTAGCACTAAGAGCCAATGGTTGCTTTGCCATTTCAAAAACTCATTTGCACCGTTTTGGGAATTTCGTCAGTTGGGAATAAATTTATCACTCAATATTTATGACACCCTCACCACGATAATTCTTAATTCTCCAGGAATAATCATCATTTTTTTGCAATGAAGACGTGAATTTATTTATGAAAAAAATAATAAAAGAGATGAGGAAATAAAGTCTAATGAATGATGTGATAGTTTCATTTTTGCACGGTTTTGCGAATATAATTTCATTTCATAAATGTATTTCTTGATATTTATGACACCCTCAGAATGATAATTTTCATAATGATAATGATATTCTATTCCTCAGGGAATAATTAACGTTTTTATGCAGTAAATACATAAATGTATTCAAGAAAAAGCTAATAAAAAATATGAGAAATAAAGTCAAATGAATAATGCAATAATTCCATTTTTGCATAGTTTCGTGAATTTCATTTCATAATTTCACAAATTTACCTCTGAATATTCATGATATTCGCAACATAATAATTTTCGTACTAATAACTTTCAATTTCCTAAGGAATTATCATTATTTTTTGCAGTAAACGCATTGAATTTATTCAAGAAGAAAAAGCTAATAAATAATATGAGAAATAATATCAAATGAATAATGCAATAATTGCATAATTTCATAAATTTATTTCTCAATATTTATGTCACCCTCAGACTAATAATTATCATAATGATAATAATATTTTATTCACCAAGGAATAATAAACGTTTGTTGTGCAATAGCCTCATGAATTTAAATTTAGAAGAAACTAATGATAAAGTGATGAACAATGTATTCAAATAAATGAGGTAATTTAGTTTTTTATTTAAACAAGATTCATTTGGCCCCACACAGCCCCAAGCAATGTTTCACCAACACGATAATTTTTTAATTCACAATTTATAATGCGAGGGAGTGCACGTGGAAGAACCCCACCCCAATAAACTCCCCGAGAGCGTTCATCGTTCTCTTTGTCGGTCTCTCGCACTCCACTGCGATTAATCACATTAACGATCCGCTAATTATCCGGCCGTCTCTCTTTCATCACAGATCACTAAGAGCCCTTAAACATGACTCCCCACCCCCTGTTGATTTTTCATTACTCTTTTTTCATAGTGTTTTTCTTATTACAGAATTCGCAGAATGATGTCTTTGTAGAGTTATAGCTGCATTCTCTTTGATTTTGCAGATTGATGAGGGAGAATTATATGGAAACCATGTTAATTGGTCGATCCTCAATTAAGGATATCTAAGTATCTTTTACAGTTCGGTAGACTGAGAGAAAAACGACAGAGTTCTCAAACAAGTCTTACTTGTGCCGAGAAAATAGTTTTTTGAAAATTATCAAAAAAGAATTTTTTTGTGCCGAACATGCGGAGAGTGCGCCGGAATGAAAAATTTTTGTTGCAAAAATAGATTTAGTAGTTCAAAAAAAATTCTCTGTAGACGTAAGAAATGTCATTTCTAGCACTACTCCTTCATTATTCGATACTCCCATGCGTATTTTGCTCCCGAAAAATCTTTGTTTTATGCGAAACGAGGGATAGTAGTTTTTCGTTTCGGCTGTCTAATAATCACAGACAAGAAATGAACCCTCAAATGAAACAATAATAATGATATGATAGTAATCTTGTAACTTAGGGATAAAATAGGGGAGCATGGGGCAAAATAAAACACGGGGCAAAATGAAACAGTGGGAAAATCTCGTCATCTAAAGGAGATAGGACATTTTTGAAGAGGACCTTTTTTGTAGCTTGTAAAATTCTCTACAAAAAAGGTTTTTATGAAAATCCTCCTATCTCCCTTAGATCACAAGATTTTCTTGCTGTTTCATTTTGCCTCACCGTCCCCTATTTGTTGATAAATTTTCCTCTATACGAGATATTTTCATCCTGAAAAGGCACCGTCTGGTGTGAATTACCCGCCTCTTGAGCCAAATATTTCGTTGCTGTCGAAAGCAGAACAATTATTCACGTTTGAGACTTTCAAATTCGAACCAAACAAATTCTTTTTTGGCAATTTTCAACTAGCGATTATGTTGGCCCCAAACAAGACTTGTTTGACAACTCAATTGATCAGTTTCAATCATCAAATTTGTCAATTAAATTGCGTGAGAATAATTTGAAAATAAAACATGAATATTTAGCGTGATTCAAACAATATTTTGCAAAGAATTATTTTTTCTTCAATTTTTTGTTTGTAAATAAATCACTGAAATTGTTTAAACTTTCGGAAACCTTGTTTCCTTAGGCTCCAACTCCATTTCTGGTAAAATTCTGAATATTAATAAATTTGTTACCGTTCTGGAAAATTGATTGTTTATAAATTATTTATAGAAAATGTTCGTAATTTTCAAAAATTGCAATTTTCAAATTATTTTATCAATCTTCCTCCAAACGTAAACTTTTTAATTTTTTTTCAGGTTCCTAAAATGTTTTTTATCCGTTCAACATTGAAATTGCGCCCAGAAGTTCTCCAAAGTAATACCAATTATGTGACGAAATTTCAGATTTTTAGCTTCAACTTGAGTCCTTTATCTGTGAAGATTTATAAATACACACATTTTCTAAAAACATCATATCTTCACGTTTCATGCCATTCTCCGTCATTTCCAGGCAATATGAGAAGATCGTCAAAACCACCGATCACAATGTGAGTTTTTATCGAAATAAAGAAAGCCGTATCCACTATTTTTCATCCAATTTTCATCAAAAAATCTACCAGAAGAAAATGCATTTCACGCAAAACTCTAATCCCCCCGTGGAAATAGAGCCCATAAACAGCTTTTACTTCCCAACTTCCGTCAGTTGTTGTTTAGTAAGTGAAAAATAATGTCTGAAAGCCCTAAAACGTCGCTTTCCTGCACGAGATAAAATGATTTTATCCACCCTGTATAAAACCACACATAGAGGAACAGTCTGATAGCAACGGGTTGGATCACGACCGCAAAAGTACGGTGTGTCGAGCCAATGAGCCGTATCCTGCTAAACTGTTAAGAAGGAAGTGGTTCATTGCTGGCATCGCTCTCGTGTCCACACTCTCTGTGGAATACGAGAGACCAAAACGTACATCACACGATGTTTATTAATGCCCCCACGAGAGTTAAAAAGAAGAAATCTTCAAAATGTTTCGCAAACAAAATTACATCAGTCAAGCACAAGTGGTGGGGAGATGGGTCTCAATGCTGTCATTATTATTGGTCATTTATTTTTCATCTCACTCACCGGAATTTTGCTGCTCTTCAGGAAGTCCAGGAGTGCCTCCAAGGCACCGAGTGTTGAGGCTTGAACGAACACACCTCGCTCTGCTAATTTTATGTTTCCAAGTGCCTTCGACAATTCTTTCGCTATTTCTTCTCTCATAATGTCTACCTCGTCGGGTTTCTGAGCCACTGCTAGATTCAATCCTGCAGAACAATATTAGGATGTTTTAATGGGATTTGATTGCGAATATGAGAATTATTTCTGGGAACATGGGTTCATTTTATTTAGTATATCGGTTGTATTGTCTTGAGGTGCTATAAATTATCATTATCGTTTTTGTCGTGGTAGTTGAGAAATGTAAGAAATGTAAATAATGCAAAGTACGACCAAAGAGATATGTAAAAGGAGAAAAGACGAGTGGAGAAAAGACAAATTCTATTCTTACATTGTCTCGATAGTGAGACAATTTAAGGAGATACTGACGACATAAAAATAATAGGGGGAATTGCTGTTGCTTCCGAATGGAAGCTTTTCGATCGGTGGCAATGAGGTAAATAAATTTGGTCTTAAATTTTTTAGTCTTCTTTCTTCTTTTTTTTCGATTTTTTTGAGGGATCTATCGAATTTCATGAATTTTTTCATGAATTTAGACTTTAATAATCTCTATTCATGGACATGAATTGAAATTCAAATTTTCACAAATTCGATAAAACTCATGTTTTTACAAAAATCGATTTTTCAACGATTGAACATGAGAGCTTTTATTTGACACTAACTTTTCGGACACTGTACAGTGATTTTATTATTCAAACTTCGCAGGTCTAAATTTAAATCTCGATATTGAACTGTTAGAAAACACTTGAAAAATCTGAAAAAAAAATTAGAAAGTTTTCTTTGGAGGAAGATTGATGAAATCATTTAAGAATTGCAATTTTTTTTAATTACGAGAATTTTTTATGAATAATTTATGAATAAACAACATTTATCTAATTGTCATTTTCAGAAAAATTGCCATACTCAGAATTTTACGAGAAATCGATTTCATGCCTAAAAAAATTAGATTTTCAAAAGTTTAAGCAATTTCAATTATTGATTTATCAACAGCGAATGTTTAAGAAAAATAATAATTCTGTGCAAAATGTTATTTGAATGACGCTGAATATTCATGTTTTTTTTTCAAATTCTTTTCGCCTAATTTAATCAACAAATTTGATGACTGAAAATGGTTGAAGATACTTGGATATTCTTAAATCTGAACGATTCCAAAGCTTCCATTGCTAAGCAGTAATATTAAAAAAAATCTTTCTTCAAACAGATTTGTAACTGACCTGCAATGGCTTTCTCGAGGTCCTTAGCAGCTATTTTGACTCCCTGAGCAGCCTTCACCTCCCTATACTCCTGATACGCATTCTGCCAAGAATCATAATTCACTCAAAATTAATCATACCGCTAAAAATGAAACATTAATAAACGAAAAATAACTGTATGCATTTTGTTTTGCCCTCGTATTTGACAGCACAAATGGCCTTCGAAATGAAACTTTAAGAATAATTTGTGACCTTTAAAAATAGATAAAATAATTCTACCTTGACCCTCAATTCCTTGAGTGGCTGTGGCATGAGTAACGATCGAATTTGCGTGACAATTGGACCGTCAGTTCCAGCAACAATCATGGTATCACCCTCCCTCAGTGTACCATTGACTAGAATGCAATCAATAGTTGTACCAAGACCAGGCAGTGCTTTAACTTCGAGAACAGTTGCTTGGAGTTCCTCGCTGTACATGAGACGTTTAGCAAGGGGTCCTTGGCAGGCATCGACCAGAAGTGCTAATAAATTTCCCATCCCCTCACCTTAAATCATAAAATTAATTCATTAACATTTCATTTTTTCCCTTCTAAAAAAAAATCAATCATTTTTTGAAAAAAAAAAAAACATTTCACGTAAAATCCCACATGGGAAAAATTTATTTCAAAAGGAAGAATTAGCGGAGAAAAAATTACCAGGAATTTTTCAGTGTGAAAAAACCTCCGCATGATATTAATTAAAATAAAACTCACCAGTGATAGCACTTGTAGGTACTAAAGAAACATAACTCCTGGGATCGGGATTTTCATAAAAAAGTGCAGCATTGAGTCCCTGCTCAGCAAATTGAACAATAACATCCTGCGATCGTTTCTCAAATTCCCTCTGAGTGTTTGGTCCCTGAGTTTTAATAATATCCTGTACATCCTTACGATTCATGGTCTGCCAGTCATAAAGCCTGAAAAAATTCCACCGTTAAACCCCAATTGCCCTTTAAAGTAGCTCTACCCTTCGGCCGGGCTACGCTGTATTTTTGGATATTTTCAGTTTTTAAATTTTTCAACTAAATTGCATGGAAAAAATTTGAGAAAATTCATACCCAGTCAGTATTATCTGAATTAAATTTCGCAAAATATTGATATTTTTTCAAACATTTCCCTCTTATAAATAAATAATAAAACTTGTTTGCAAAACGGCGGATTATTTTTTTATGAGGTGTCAAAAAAATTGTTGATTTTTTCACATCTAATGAAAAAAAATTCAGATTTTAATCTTTGACTACAATAGAAATGTTGATTTTCACATAAGACACTGGGTTAAATCCTGATTTTTAACCACTTCTTCTTCAAAAAACCAAAACGATAATTAAATTGAGAAAAAAATTAGAATTCCGAATCTAATCGAGTTTTCTGTAATTTTTTTCACTTTTCAATAATCTTTGAATTTACCGTAAGGGTAGAGCTACTTTAAAATCACCCGCTAAGAAACTCACCTATCAATTTTATTCAAAGCAACGACAAAAGGGCACTTTTTCGCCTTCAACAGTCCAATACTCTCCAGCGTCTGTGGCTCCAGTCCATGCATAATATCAACAACAAGAACAGCAATGTCACAAAGCGACGAACCCCTATTTCTCAAATTGCTGAACGACTCATGTCCAGGTGTATCAATGATCAGGAGCCCAGGAATCTTGAAAATCTTGTCCCCATACCCTTTAACATGCTTCGTGGACTCCTGAATGGCCTCGATAGGCACATTAGTGGCGCCAATCTGCTGTGTGATCCCCCCAGCCTCGCCATCCTGGACATTAGTCCTCCTCAATTTATCCAGAATTTTTGTTTTTCCAGTGTCCACATGGCCCAGCACACAAACAACAGCAGCCCTGAGGTTCTCAATACTCTTATTCTTCTCAGCCTCAACCCTACGATTCTGTATCCTCAGCCTAGCCTTCTCCCTCTTCCTCTCAGCATCAGTCAATCTGTCATCGACACTGTCGTCCTCACTCTCCTCCTCAGACTCCGACTCAGTCTCACTTCCACTCTCAGACTCACTCTCCGACGACTCCTTCTTCTCCGATTTTTCCGGCATTTTGTCCCCCTGCTGAGGTCCCTCAGGCTTTCCAGCCTCGTCTGACTTGTCCTCCAGCTCGTCCTCACTGCTGACAGCATCCCAACTGTCCTTGACCTCGTCCTCCTCCTTCTTCTCACCCTTTTGATTATCAATTATTTCGAGCTCAATCTGCTCAGGCTTTCTCTCGTCCTTCTTCTCGTCCTCCTTCTCCTCAGTGCTCGTCTGCTGTTTTAATTTATTCGGTCTTATCCTCGTTCCCAGCTTCATCTTCGGCTTTTTCTCACCAGCCTCTGGTATTTCCATTCCCTGAGCCTTCAGTGCCTCCAGCATCGCCTGGGCCCTCGCCCTGTCCTGCTTCTGCTTCGTTGTGAGAAGTTTTCCCTCCGCTTTGAGACGCTCCTTCCTCTGTTTCTCCTTCAACTTTTTCTTCTCCTTTCGCTCCTGCTCGAGCTGCAGCTGCTCCAGGCGAGCTTTCTCCCTGAGCTCCTCCTGGCGTATTCGCTCCTCCTCCTCTTGCTGAGCTCGTTCCTCTTCTTCTTTTGCTTTCTTCAGGGCCTCCTGCATCGCTGCTATGATCTTCTTGCTGGGACCCTTGCCCTTGTCCTTTGGATCCTCCTTTGCACCCTTCTTCTTCTTCTTTTTACTGTCTTCGCCGTCTGCGTCGGCTTCAGATGGCTCTTCCGACCTCTCCGAGGGCTCTGGCTTCTTCTCGGGGGGCTTCTCCGTCGAGGGAACTTTGGCAGTGTCACCGTCTTGTTTACCAGCCTCCTAGAAGACGAATTTTATTAATTTAATTTAATTTAATTTAATTTAATTTGATTGACGATTAATTCATTGATTTGATTTCATTTGATTTTTGAGATTTTTCATTGTATTTGTTAACAGGAATGTTCAGTACACTGAGAGAAAAACAAACACAAAAACAAAAGCAAAAAACAAAAAGACAAAAAAACAAAAACAAAAATTTTGCACAATACTGCAAATTTCCTTTGCCTGACTAATATGTTACTGTTATTATCCTCTCTAATGATGGCGGCCATTGATTAAGATTTAATTTATCGACTAGTTTTTTAATTGTTAAATTTTTTTGAAAATCTGTTGTCCCACGATAACGAAAAAAATGTTGTGAATTGATTGAATGATGGCTTCATCCCCATGAAAAATATAAAAATGAGAAACTTACAGTCTTCTTCTGTGCCAATTTTTTCTGTTTCTCCCGCTCCTTCTTCTCCTTCTTCTTCTGCGCCGCTGTCTTAACAGTACTGCCCTCCTCAGCCTCGACCTCGTCATCCCTAGCTTCACTCTCAGCCTTCTTCTCCAGTTGTTTACCCTTATCCTTCTTCCCCTTTTTACCCTTGTCCTCCTCAACATCATTAACTGCCTGAACAGGAGCTTCAGGCTCCTGCTTGTCAGGCTTCTTCCCAGAATACTCAATTTCTAATTCAGCCAGGGCTTTCTCCAGCTCGTCGTCGCTGTCCTGTTTCTTCTTCTTCTTCTTCCCCTTTTTCCCCTGGGGCTCTTGCTTCTGTTGGGGCTTAGACTTGCTTGAGGATCTCTCGACACTTCGAATTTGCTCGGATTCATCATCACTCTGGGGTGGCTCTTCAACGTCATCGTCAACGTCGTCGTCCCCTTCGACATTCAGAAGAGCAAAGCCACCTTTAGCCGCTGGAAATGTGAAATAAATTATTAGTTAATACAACATAACATTTTCTGAAATTAAACAGTTTATTTGATATTTTACCGTTTCTTCAACCAATATTTTTATTTTAACAACTGATAAATTCATTGATTTATTCGTTTCATTCATTCCTTCATTCATTTATTTATGTGGAATAAATAAATAAATGATAAACAACAAAATAACAAGAGATTAAATAAAAAATTTCTCCAAGTGTCAAAATAAATAAACGAAACTATAATTTAAGAAAATATAAAGAAAAACAAGAGGACAATTGCATTTTTCTATAATTTAGAAATTATAATTTTTTCTAATATTTGGAAAAAATATCCATTTTTTCGAATCTGCATGAAAAATTGAATTTTAATTGGTGTCAATACGAATAGAACTTATTAAAGTCTATAATTACAAAAAAAAGTCATGAAATTCGATTCATCCCTTTTAGCAAAATTTCAAATATTTAGTTTTCCAAACACAAAAAATCGGAAACTTGATAATAACTTCCTGAGAACTTACCCTGCGGTTTGAACGTGGATGATTGAATAGGAACGTCATCGTCATCACCATCAGGAACCGACCCCTTCCTCCCCTTTTTCGTTTTCCCTTTATTCTTCCCTTTTAAGTTATTCCCCTCAGGAGCCTTGTCCGGGAATTCATCATCACCGTCATCATCATCCCCCCGTTTTCCCTTCTTCCCCTTGGCCTTCCCCTTGGCTCTGCCTTTCCTCTCATGTTCCGAGTCGGACTCATCCTCGGAATCATCACCCCCACGATTTCCCTTCTTCCCCTTCGATTTCAAATTGGCTTCTTCGTCGGAATCATCACCACCTGCAGCAGCCTTCTTCCCCTTCTTGCTCTTGGACTTTGATTTCTTCTCTGACTCGGAGTCAGAATCACCTTGATTCTTACCCTTCCCCTTGGTAATCGACTCATCATCCGAGTCATCATCTCCACGTTTAGATTTTTTTCCTTTCTTTCCCTTCTTATCCACTTTCATCTTCTGCAAATCACTGGTTAAATCATCGATATCATCGGACTTCTTGCCCTTCTTGTCTTTTGATTTTGATTTGTCTTGCACTGAATCAGCATTTGACAGCTCATCGACGTCAACGTCACTGTCACTGGAAAAGGAATAGAGAGGGATTTCAATTAAATGAAGTAAATATTGAGCTTTCAGTGCGAAAGTGCCAAGTCCTTAATCAATTTTAGCAGTCAATTCAATTTAAATTGACCGCTAAATTTAGATTTAATTTGCTGTTTGTTAGAGTTGGAGTCGGGTTTGTCAATTCATATTAAGGACTTTGAATTCAGTAAAATGTTAATATTCTTCATGTGTAAAATTCAAGTACTAGTGAATGCTGGAGCATAAAATCCCTTCATCACAATTATTTGTTGCTCGAGGCTAATTTTGTTGAGTTGTCTGCACAAAAGTTAACTTAATAACGATAATAATGACGAAAAACTCTTCAATTCCACATAATTAATCTTTAATGAAAAAAAAGTCTCCAAATGCAACTGAATAAACTTCCAGAGTATTTATTCCCCAAACATTTCCATCCTTTCCACAATTCTACAAATTCCCTTCATCTCACTAATATGTTACTGTCATCATAGTCTTTAATAAATAATAAATTAGAATACTCAACAAAAATTGCGAAATTAAACGATGAAAAACAACGAGAATTTCATCAGAAAATTTAAGCAATAAAAATTCCACAGGAGAGAATTGAAGTTGTTATTTATTAAAATAGCATCTGTTTCTGTCAAATAATGAATAAAAAATAAAATAATAAAACAGAAATTGAAGGAGTAAAAACAACGAGAAATTCATTAAAAAATTTAAACAATAAAAATTACACAGAAGAGAACTGAAGTTGTTATTCTTTAGAATAAAATCGGTTTTAGAAAAATATAAATACTCTTCATATGAATATTGGAGCATAAAATTTCTTCATTTTGTTGAATTGTCTACGCAAAAGATAACTTGATAACGATAATAATGAAGAAATAACTTCAATTGCACATCACAAATCTCTAATGAAAAAAAAAGTCTCCAAATACAATTGAATAAACTTCCGTTGTATTAACTCCCAAACATTTCCATTATTTCCCATAAAAACAAAACTCCACAATTCTACAAATTCCCTTCGTTTCCCTAACATGTTATTGTCATCATCATCTCTGAATAATCTGAATAATAAAATAATAAAACTAAAAAAAGATTGAAACTGAAACACTGACATAACCTCCTCCGACCAGATGGCAACTACACATCAATCCATGCTGTGAAATTTCCACTGCATCAGAGTCGACGAAAAATCTCGGAAATCCCGAAACTTATGAAAATACGATGAAACTAATTGTCTACGTAATGATAAACATGCGAGCAACGAGTGAATTTTGCAATGTTCTGAAAATAAACTCACAAATCGTCGTCCTTTCCCGTTCGCTTTCCCCTCTTCGGTTTGCCCATTTTATCGCCACTATTTATTTGTCCTCTACGTAATGAACAATTTTTCAGTATTTTTTACGTCTATAGTAATCGAGAGCCGCGAGAATTCGCAACATGAGACACAAATTAATAACGGAATTGGTGGAATTGTGGTATTTGACGTGCCAAGTGTGTGCACACCGGTTTTTCACCTTGCGGAGTGGATCAGCGTGAAGTTAGCTGCTCTATCATTGGAGGGGGGGGACTGTTGTGTCGATAAAACAGATTGTCTTATTTTTTAAAAGCCCTTGTTGAGTAATTCAAAAGGGATCTAGGATTGCAGCAGATTGTAGTAGCAAAATATGGAATACGTAATTTTTCAATTGAAAACCCGAGTTGAAAACCCGAGTTTGTAGCAGAGATGTCAGACAAAATATGAATGTTTTTTTCGGCTCAAACGAAAGAGCGGGTCGAGAAATGGCGTGCTAGGACCAATTCGCAATTTTCTTCAAAACTACTTCAATGAGGAAAAAAATAAAAATTTGGAATATCTATACATGAGGGGTTAATTGATCGGATCTCTTCAGCCGTTTCATTGACTCTTGAAAACCAACGATTTTTGAAAACCCGTATCTAAATATAGGTTCAGACGTAGATTTAGGTCACGACTGAGAATTAGGTCTCGACTTAAATTTAGGAAACGTTCCTATTCACTACCATTTCCTCTGAATATTCCAAGGAAACGTTAATACGTCATGTTCCGTGTATTAACAATCCCTTCAAGTGCTAATTGTTCATGAACACATGCAACTTTACGCATTCTGACCCCGGTCTCTATGAAAATACAAACTTTTCCATCATTCGCACCATCGTGTTAAGAACCTTGAATTTTGACTTTTTTCGCTCTATCTGGATCATCCGTATCAATGATAAAATACTCAAAGTCCTATATTTTTTCATTATATCACACGTATGAAAACAATTAATAGAAAAATCTAGTGCATTCGCTGAAAAATTCTATTGGATTTCTATTAGGTTTTGGCGAATTCTATTGAAAAATTTTGCAGCACATCTGTGAGTTTTTTTTTTTATAGTAATGTTCAATGTTAAATATTCTATAGAAAAATCAATAGAAGTTCAATAGAAGTTTCTATCGAATTCACCAGAAAATTCCATTGAAGTTTCTATCAGATTCACCCGATTTTTTAAAAATTTGTATCGAATATTTTCTCCGAAATTTTTATAGAATATTTTATAAAATATTTTAAATGGAAAATTTTCTATAGAAAAAATCAATAGAACTCGATTTTCTATACGATTCATCCCATTAAGAAAATTTCTATAGAAATTCCTCCACTCAATTTTTTTTACTTTGATATCTTATTTTCTTTTATAAATAGAGAACAAAAGTGTTATCTATAAAATAACATAACGTAAATAAAAAAATCAAATTTCACTGATCACTTCTAATAAAAAATTTCCTATTGGACATTTTCTATGAAAAAAAACGCCCTAAAGCAGTGGAATTCTTCAATAGAATCGCCCAAAACGCAATAGAACTCCAATAGAATTTTCCATTAAATTCGCTAAGTATTTATTTTTCATTTTGTGCGCGTTATCTAATTGACTATCATAGTGACACCCCAACGCCGGTGCGCCTAGACTCCCACTCGTCTTTTTCATCGCCTATCGAAACCCAATGAGCACGTCGTGCTGACAGAGCCTCGACCGTTTCATTTTTCAAAGCCAGTGGTTTGCGAGTGCAGTCCCCCGACGATACATCCACTAATCAGTTGAAGTTCTGATAGCACTCGAGAGCTCTTCATCCCACATTTTTGGGATGTTGAGTGTTCAAAAGTCAGTGAATCCCTCCGGTATTAAAGTGTTTCGCAAATTTCCGGGGATCGATCGATCATTCAACTCAAATCATCCAAAACACGAGTCATTAAATCAATTTTATTAGACGATATTAATTTAATATTCATTCAATAAAATAAAATTATGACCCGATTACAACGAAATTATGTAGTTAAATAGATTGTATAAGAGAATTGCTGAACAAATTGAAAAATCGTGTGATAAAAAATTACTGACGAGGAAATGTTGGATAACTGAGGCACAAAAAATGCCATTGATACGTGCGCCAATAGTTTCCGCAAGTGAATTCTTGCTGAAGGCCGCTCTTGACGGAATCTGCTGAAATCGACAACTCTCGATTTTTTCATCACCTCTGATTTCAATTCACGCTCGATGACCGGTGAAATCTGTTGGTCGAAAAAAAATCGAGACAATGGCTAGACAGATGTGCAAATCCACTGAATTCATCTGGTGGTGTGCGACGATTCTCTTCGTCACTCGATCGGCGTCTCAAGTTCAGATTGCGCCAGGTGAGTCACTGGGAAATTGGTCATCCAGATCTCTGATGATTTTAATCGGTTGGAAATGAGGAAGATGAAGACGCTAGACAACTCCACTGGAATTCTATTGAACCGTTCGATAGAGAATATTCGATTTTTCGATCCAACTTACTCTATTGAGATATTCCCTCTAGGATTTCCTCGGTGGAGTTTTTTTGTTTGATTTTGATAATCAAAAGAAGAGAAAAGCAAGTGCATAATTGCATTTTTTATAAATGAGTAGTTATCTTTGCTAATAAGTTGTGCCTTCACTCCACTTTCTTCTACGATTCCGAAAAAAATTTATAAGACTAGGAATCGTATTCTGTGTCAATTAAGGGGATATCCTCTTCCTCTCATTCCTATCGGACCTAGGCGTCGTTGATATTGTCTTTCTCCTCCTCGTTTTTTTTTTCATAGAGCTGACTAGTTTTATCGTCTAATTACCCTACGAATTTCCTCGTTCCTACCACCACTCACGCGAACTCTCTTTTCCTTGTGCCAATCTATTCGACGTGGAGGAAGAGGTTTTTTCCTCGATGAGAATATCTTCTTGTTCCTCCGCTTTCTGGAATTCCTCTTGCATATTTGATGACTATTGACATTAATAGCATTTGTTATTTTTTTCAATGAGTCACACGAATGAAGAAATTTTATTGAGAAACCTATAACTGTGTTTAAAAAAATTTTATTGAATTTCTATTCGAAGTCTATAAGAATTCCAATAGTCTAGAATTCTTATAGAATATAAGAATAGAAGAATTCTCTCTAAATTCCGATTCTATTTGAATTTTTTTTTCTTCTTATTTTTTTTTTATTCTCATTTGCTATTGAAATTTTATCTCGTCATTTTCTTAAAAGTCAAGAGATTTTGATTTTTCTATAGAAATTCTTGGGTATAAATTTTCCAAGTTTTTTCCGTTGTATTTTAATTTATTTGTCACAATAGAATCCAAGAAGTAAACACTTGGAAAATTCGAGAATTCCTATAGAAAAATCCCCATCTATATACTTTTGTCCATGAACAAATATCCATTGATCCACGCACGTGAAAATCCCGTAATGTTTAACAGAATTGGCGCAAAAAAATAAATAGAATGTTCTAATTAATAAAATTGCTATAGAATTCCCCTAGAACTTCAGTAGAATTTCTTAGAGAGAGCGCTATCATTTCTTATTCAATTTTTTCGGAAGCGCAGTACGAATAATTTAATGATAAATTATCTAAAATCCACTTCTCAGGGCCATCTCCAGACTTCAGTACACACAGCCGTGTTCGACCACGAGTGTTCAATGCTAGAGATAAACAAATGATTGATGACACGAGGATAAACGTGAGTACGACAGAAACGAGTAATTTTATTCTTGGGAATACCGACACGTGTAGATAAACCGCATTTTTCACAATTCCACACGTACAAAAAAATTTCGCAGAAAAACAGAATTTCCGAGCGAATTCGATAGAAATTTCTTCTGCATTTCTGTTGAACTTTCTATTAGGTTTTGGTCAATTCGAGCTTTTTTTTCAATAAACTTTTTTCGTCCATGCATTCTTCCTCTTTTGCCAGCATTTTGACGAAGGACACATTGTCATTTTTAGAATTTTAACCATTCAGATGTGCTCACTATTGACTTAGAAATTGATGGAATTCAGCGTACCCTCGATCTCAGGCTCAATACAGATCTCATTCCCGTAGGATATAAGCAGAGAACACAGTATGAAGGATATTCTACAACTGAAATACCTCAAATAGTTGTGAGTATTTAAAATTATTGCAATAATGTTGTTATTACTGCCAAAAAATTCTATTGCCCATATCTTATGCAATGAAACAATAAATTTTATTCCGTTGAGATTCACGTATGAAAAAAATTTATAGAGATCTAGCCTTTTCACCGAGAAATGTTAATGTATTTCTATTGGAAGTCTACAAGAATTCTATTGCAGTTCTGTAAAAAACTATTTGTTTTTGCGCTAATTCTATTGAAAATTATGCAATTTTACCCTGTCATTTTGTTAGAGAATACTGCATTTAAAAAATCTCCAGAGTTTCATTTTTCAATTAATTGTTCATAATTATTCTCATTGCAAAAAGCAATATGGCCGATGATAATCACATGTCCCAATTTATCATCTGTTAAATTTTCATATGACAATAAATAATTTGCTTGTTTCAATTTCTACGCTCACCGAATAAGATTTGAATCATAATTACAATTCAATTCCTTCTAGAACACACTTCAAAGTGTGAATTTCTGGAATTCAATGTTTGTTGATACTCTGTTATCAATTTTTATCAATTTTGTGTTATCAATTTTTATTTACTTCACACGACAATTCAATTAATCTGTTGTTCATCTCGTCAATGCAATTCCGTGTTTAGAATATTGTCATCTCGTGTTTTCAGCACCAAACTAGATAATTTTCAAAAAACTATTTTCTTGGCACAAGTGAGAATTGTTTGAGAACTATTGTTTTTCTCTCAGTGTGCCCATTCTCCCTCCGGAAACGCATCCAATATAAATACCCTACAGCGTCCTACAGAAAGCGCTAGAATTGTCACTAAAAATTTCGCGCGTGAATAGGAATTATGTCATTATCAAGGAAGCCTCCGAGGCGCCCCAGGCTCCTGGGCGGCGGTGTCGACCTGTCGCGGCCTGCGCGGCGTCATCTACGACGCCCGAAACCTCCACTACATCCACCCCCACGAGAACACCCTCGACACCGTCCACTACCTCTACAAGCACAGCGATCTCATATCAAACAGGACCTGTTCACCGTCCGGGGATTCCCCCAATTCCCCCAGAACCCGGCGAGCCCTCGCTCCCGCCAGAGGGCGGCTCATTCTGGGTCCCTACAACGCCAACTCCGGGTCTCGCTACCTCGAGCTGGCCTTCGTCGTCGACCAAAAGATCTACGCCAAACTAGGAAGCGACATCGACGAAGTCCACCGTCACATCAAGGACCTCGCCAACATAATAAACGCCCTGTACACCCCATTGAACGTCTTCGTGGCGCTCGTGGGGATCGAAGTCTGGACGCAGTACGACAAGATCCCGCTCTCCCCCGTCAGCGCGCGGACGCTGGAGAGCTTCATGGAGTACCGCAGGCGGTACCTCCTCCGCGAAATTCCGAACGACAACTCTCAACTGCTGACAGGCATTCGTTTTGACGGCGGAATAGTCGGAAAAGCCGGTGTCGGCTCGATTTGCACGTTCGAGTCGTCGGGAGGTGTCAACATGGACCACTCGACGATCACCGGACTGGTTGCGGCGACCGTGGCCCACGAGATCGGGCACAATTTCGGCATGAGTCATGACGCGGAATACTGCCAATGTCCGGAGACGGAATGCATCATGAATGCGGCGCTGACGTCGAAAGCTCCGGTTCACTGGTCCTCCTGTTCCCTCGAGCAGTTGTCGCTGGGCTTCAGTCAGGGCATGGACTACTGTCTGCGGAACAGGCCGGCGAGACTCTTCGAGGGGGGAGAGTGCGGCAACGGGTTCGTGGAGTCGGGGGAGGACTGCGACTGCGGCCTCGAGGGGTATTGTGATAATAAGTGCTGTGATGCTCGGACTTGCAGGTGCGTTGATGCGCACTGATAGAACGGTTTAGTCGAACCAAACGAGACTTTAGCTATTACAACGAGATCGGGCACAATTTCGGCATGAGTCATGACGCGGAATACTGGCGATGTCCGGAGGCGGACTGCATCATGAGTGCGGCGCTCACGTTGAGAGCGATTCGTTAACTATTAACGAATTGCGGTAACAGTTGAGAAGCCTCGTTTCGTGCAACTGAATCGTTCCATATTTTCTATCAGTGCACTGATAGACTGATTCATTTATTCCAAACGAGATTCATTAACTATTAACGAACGATAGAGTTCGACCCTTATGACCCATATTTGGATCCTTAATCTGACCCTCATTATAATCCTCGTGAACCTTATTTTGACCCTCATGGCCCTTATTCTGACCCTCATTACCCTCAATCTGACCCTTACGACCCTTAATTTGATCCTCTTGACTCTTATTCTGTCTTTCATGACCCTTACTCTGGCTTTATTGACCCTTATTTTGACCCTCACTACCTTCATTTTAACTCGCGTGACCCTTAATTTTACCTTTGTGATTCTTAATTTGACTCATGTGACCCTTATTTGGATCTGACCCTCATTATAATCCTCGTAAACCTTATTTTGACCCTCATGGCCTTTATTCTGACCCTCATTACCCTTAATCTGACCCTTACGATCCTTAATTTGATCCTCTTGACTCTTATTCTATCTCTCAAGACCCTTACTCTGGCTTTATTGACCCTTATTTTGACCCTCACTACCTTTATTTTAACTCCCGTGACCCTTATTTGGACCCTTAATTTGACCTTTGTGATTCTTAATTTGACTCATGTGACCCTTATTTGGATCTGACCCGCATTATAATCCTCGTGACCCTTATTTTGACCTTCATAGCCCTTGTTCTGACCCTCATTACCCTTAATCTGACCCTTAATTTGATCCTCTTGACTCTTATTCTGTCTCTCGTGACCTTTACTCTGGCTTTATTGACCTTTATTTTGACCCTCACGACCTTTATTTCAAAAAAGGTAACTGAATTCCCTACCTTATTCTACGCCATTCTTCCGTGTCCCCCAGGTTTACGTCCAATGCGGCCTGTGCAACCGGTGAATGCTGTGACCTGACAACTTGTCAACTAAAGAAGCCCGGGGTTCCCTGCAGAACATCGTCGCACGAGTGCGATTTACCTGAGTACTGCCCGGGAAATTCCGAATACTGCCCTGAGGATGTCCACAAAATTGACGGCCATCCTTGCAAAATGGGGAGAGCTTTCTGCTACCGCGGCGCATGCAAAACTCATGACGACCAATGCAAGCTTCTCTGGGGTCCAAGTGGTATCTCGTCAGGTCTTCCCTGCTACGAGTTGAATGTCAATGCAAATGTCACAGGCAATTGCGGATACAATCCCGTAGATTCCACCTTCAGACCTTGCAGGAAGAAGAATACTTTGTGTGGAAGGCTTCAGTGCAAGCATTTGGGAGCGGAAATGCGGTTCCAATTTGGGTCAGACGCTTTTGTGAGGGGGGGTCACACTTACGTTTACGGCCCTAATTATTCGGTTCTGTCATGCAAAATCGCTATTGTTGATCTTGGAACGAGAGATGTTGATCCAGGACTCGTGCCCAACGGCGCCAAGTGCGCTGAGGGGAGGATGTGCGTAGATCAGAAATGTCTGACTGTCGAGAATTTCATGAAGAGGATCGACAGGGACTTGGCGTGTTTGAACAACTGCAGTGGGAATGGAGTTTGCAACAGTCTCGGGCGCTGTCATTGTGACGAGGGATTTGGGCCACCTGATTGCACTCAGAGGGGGCTTGGGGGGTCTCAGGACAGCGGTCCCCCTGATACTGTTGATGGTGAGCTTTTTTTCATGATTTTAATTTCGTTTTTTTCAGGATTTTGCGGAAAATAAAGGAGCCAGGACCAACATTTTCGACGATAAAATGCAGCCAATATTATCCCAACGTTGACAGCCAACATTGCCCCAACGTTGGACCAACATTGGCCCAACGTCCGCAGCCAACATTGGCCCAACGCTGGGCCAACATTGTCCCAACGTTGGGTCAGCATTGTCTCAACGTTGGTCCAACGTTGGCGGCCAACACTGCCCCGACATTGCGCCAATGTTGGCTGCCAACATTGCCCCGACGTTGATAATTAACATTGCAATACAAAAATATGGAAATGACCATCAGAATTAATTTGTTTTTTCCTTCCAGATGAAACCAACGGAGTTGCAATCGCCCTCTGCATCATCTTCTTGGGAATTCTTCCACTAATCGCCGTAACTTTACTCTGCATTTGGTACAAACGAAACCGATCGAGTTCAATTTTCACAAAAATGTTCTTATCAACGTATGTCTCCGCGGTTAAGTGTTTCGAACGCGTCAGGGGTTTCTTCACATCAGAACGCTCTCCAGACCCGTACGAGGGATCACCCAAAGTGTTCACAATAAGTGATAGAGTTCCAGGGAATGGACTGACGATAACGAAGACGAATTTCGTTAGTACGACGAATCCAGGTGTGATTAGATCTAGTAAAAATATAAGAATTCGTCATTCCGCCGGGGCTGATGACTCATCTGACGTAGAATCGGTCGTCAAATCGAATAGTCGATTGAGGATTCAACATTCTGATGAAATTCCCTCTCGCAGTACTCCGAGGGAGTTGTCCTCTGAGGCATCGCCTGATTCAGAATGTCTTTATGAGTCAAATTCCGAGATTTATGTGGCCTTCAAGAAACTGAGTCCGAGGGGTCTGGAAAAACCGACAGGTACTCCAGAAAATGCGGACTCTAGATCGACTAGATCTTTTTATAGGAAAAAACCACCGCCACCGCCAATTTTGTAATATTTGATACAGAAAATTTCGTAAATAAAATCCTTTTTACTGATTATCGATTACCTTTTTTCTTTACCCTTTGGAATACTTATGTATTGGGAATATTTTATCGAATAGAACAATGGATTTTTATTTTTCTGTACAATTTTTTCTAGTGAGATTGTTTCTATAGAAATTCTTCAGCTCAAATTTCATTGGGGATTATAGATTTTTTTCTATCAAAAATACATTCGTTTCTCATTAAATGCATTCTATATCTCTGTAAATGTACCGGTCAATTATTAAAATTATCAAAATTCGTTGATCAATTTCAAATTGCAGAATTCCTTGTAATTGAATTGCAGAAAAAAAAACATGATTTCTAAATTTACACTACTTTTTTGTTAGTGTTTTCTCGGAATATTTACGTTTTTTAACTTTTTTAATTTCGTAGGTATAGCTGCACTTATAGCTATAGAAATAATTATCGTTATCGATATTTATAAGTATACCTATAAATATTTAGAGCAATCGTCATAAATCGTTATAGTTATGCATAACTATTTATCACTATAAGGATCTATATAACTATATAATTATGACTATATTAATACCGAAGAAATTCTATAGAAAATATTTTAATAGAATAAATTGTATAGAGAAATCTAATTCTATAGACTTTTTTCACAGAATATTTTCTATTAAACATTTCAATAGAATCGGCCAAAAACTAATAGAAAATTCAATAGAAATCCAATAGAATTGTTTTTTTTCAAATAATTTCCATTTTATATTTTTTATTAAAAAAACGCGCAGTAAAATTGCAAAATTCTTCAATAGAATTTTCAACTCTCGTCTTGTAATTCTTGAAGGAAATTTTTTTTTACAACTGCCAGCTGGGAGTGTTAAATATTCTATAGACTTTTTCCACCGAATATTTTCTATTAAACATTTCAATAGAATCGGCCAAAAACTAATAGAAAATTCAATAGAAATCCAATAGAATTGTTTTTTTTAAATAATTTCCATTTTATATTTTTTATAAAAAAACGCGCAATACAATTGCAAAATTCTTCAATAGAATTTTCAACTCTCGTCTTGTAATTCTTGAAGGAAATTTTTTTTTACAACTGCCAGCTGGGAGTGTTAAATATTCTATAGACTTTTTCCACCGAATATTTTCTATTAAACATTTCAATAGAATCGGCCAAAAACTAATAGAAAATTCAATAGAAATCCAATAGAATTGTTTTTTTTAAATAATTTCCATTTTATATTTTTTATAAAAAAACGCGCAATACAATTGCAAAATTCTTCAATAGAATTTTCAACTCTCGTCTTGTAATTCTTGAAGGAAATTTTTTTTTACAACTGCCAGCTGGGAGTGTTAAATATTCTATAGACTTTTTCCACCGAATATTTTCTATTAAACATTTCAATAGAATCGGCCAAAAACTAATAGAAAATTCAATAGAAATCCAATAGAATTGTTTTTTTTAAATAATTTCCATTTTATATTTTTTATAAAAAAACGCGCAATACAATTGCAAAATTCTTCAATAGAATTTTCAACTCTCGTCTTGTAATTCTTGAAGGAAATTTTTTTTTACAACTGCCAGCTGGGAGTGTGGCACCTCCTGTAATCCGGCTACTCGGAGGCTAGTTCATTGGGAGGAACTGAGGTCGGGAGGTTCTGTGGGTGTGGGATCCACGTTGACTGGACGTCCGCACTAAGCTCACCATCGATATGGGCACCCTGGAGGAGTCCGGGGTGGCCAGGTTGGCTAAGGAGAGGCGAACCGGGCCAGAGGGGAAACCCAGCAGCCAAAAGTCTCCGTGGTTGAGCAGTAGTGGGATCGCGTCCGGGAGTGGGACTGCATTCGCAGCCCGATCAATACGATTCGACCAATAACTTTTTTACATTTTTTCACATTTTTCCTGGAATCACCATTTATTGTTGCTAATTTTCGTGGGGATATTTTTTTTATAAAGGTATACTTTTGCAATGTTTATTTATAATGAGGTGTTTTGGGTGTTGGACGACTGCGGCATCTGGTGACGAAAATAAAATTATTCCACTTCACGAAAAACTCAACACGTCATGAATATTTCAAAAAAAGTCAAAAGTGTCCGTTTTACCCTACTCTCCCCTATATATCATCGGTGAAATTAATAAATTCTGTCCTTTTATGGAGACCGATTATTTAAAAAAATTGAAGATAATTAATTGAAAATGAAAAATTCTGTATAGATTCTTTTACTCTACTTCGCTATTCGCTTCAATCATTAGTCGAATTCTCTTTGATTCATTATCAATATTTATAAGGTATTCATGAGAAAATGAAATTCAATGAATTCCAGTTCTTCATTTCAACAAATAAATAGATCAGCGCGCGCATAGATCTTGTAGAGGTCAAAAGAGGAAAGGTTACGAGGGATACAATGAGGGTCAGAATGAGGGCCGCGAGGGTCAGATTAAGGGTCACAAGTGTGGGAATAAGGATCATGGGGGTCATATGTGCACAAATTTGATAAAAGATACTTGCATATTCTTGCATTCAAACTCCAGCCGCTAAAACACCGCCACCAGTCGGTGATTATTTTCATGAGAACGGCGGGGAATTCTCACCGCCGCCTCGACGCCGCCATGACACATTCTCACACACACGTCGTTTTTTATGCAGTGAAAAAGGAAAATAGCAGAGATTCCCGATACTCGATCATCATAACGTGTAATAGCATTCCATCAGTAATTTTCGCAGTGAAGACAAGTGGAATCACCGTTTTCGGTGGTTCGATTTAAAGAGAGCAATCAGTCGATCCCGAATCTGTCCGCAATCCCTCATTTCATGGATCGGACTGATGCGTGAGATGTGTGCACTCTCCAAAGGACATTACCGTCAGCATCACAAATAATTGATAACATAAGCAGCTACAGATTCTGTAAGTTTGCATTAATAAATCCCACAAAATGATCGAGTGTTTCTCTGATTACTTTCCGGGAAAGTGACAGATGTGATGTAATGATGAACATGTCAATATTCCTGTCATCACAAAAACATTGAATATTATTATTTTTATTTTCAATTGAAGTTTCATTTCTTTCTTATTTCACGTAGGATTAAACTAAATGAACATTAAGTATAATAATGAAATTAATAAAATGAACAGTTCAAAATAACACGAATTACGGAAAGCATTATTTGTGTCATTTTACAGGGGAGGTTGGGGTAAAACGGACACTATAGAATTTCTTCCATAGAATAATTATTAATTATTATTTTCTCTAACATAGCTCAATAGAATTGTTTAACGAATTCACCAGGTTTTTGCAGGGCTGAGGCCCTCAGTTCCCCCGAGATGAGCTCTCATCATCATCTGAATCCACCCTCTGGCGAAGTTATCCACATAAATCACCTCTCCGAGGACATCGGTGCACTCTATCTCTCGGATGAATACTCGGATGTGACACTTATTGTATCTGGACAACGTTTTAACGGCCATCGGGTCATTCTCGCTGCTAGGAGTCAGTATTTTCGTGCACTATTGTTCGGGGGATTGAAGGAGAGTACGCAGGAGGAAATTGAGCTCAATGGTACAACGTTCCCGGCTTTCAAAGAACTGCTCAAGTATATTTACACTGGACATTTGTCGTTGACGAATCAACGAGAGGAGGTGACGAATCTAGATTTAAATGAACTAAAATTTAATCCGAGGTTTTTTTATTAATTTATTATTGATTCATTTTCATTTGTTTATTAATTTTTTATTTATTTATCCATCTATTTTATTTAATTATTTCTGTATCCGTCTTTTCGGATGAAAACTAAATTTGTAGGAATTCTATTGAAAATTAAATAGATTCCTATCAAATTCTATTGAATAATAAAAAAATAAAATAAATAATAAAATAATATAAATATAAAATAATAAAATAATAAATGAAAATAAAATAAAATAAATAAAAAAATAAAATAATTTACGTCTGAGAAAAATTTAATAGAAAAACTAAATTTATAGGAATCCTATTGAAAATTAATAAATAGATTCTATCAAATTCTATTGAATAATTTCATTTGTTTTTTTGCTCATTCTATTGAAGATTATGGAATTTTTTTAGTTTTCGATTTTGTTTTTTCTATAGAAATTAACGGGGATAAATTTTCTCACTTTTTCTTTCCATTAATTTTTTCGTACCTGCTATTATTATTCATAAGTTTCATGAGGAAGTTTTTAAAATTTACAGAAGTCTTTAAAATCTTCAAAATTAAATTTTTTTTTCAGACAATTCTAGACATTTTGGGTCTTGCCCATCAGTACGGTTTCATAGACTTGGAGATGGCTATATCTGATTATTTAAAAGAAATATTGAATATAAAAAATGTATGCCTGATCTTCGATGCGACGCGACTGTATCAACTGGATCGACTAACAAAGGTAACTATTACAAATTATTATTTTTCAAAATTAACGAATAATGTTTAGTTCAATGAATTATTCAATTGAATTCAATTTAAAATACATCATCATGAAGGTTCCATTCAGAAGCAAATTGCCACTTGCTTTAAAAATAATTCTGGTGTAATATTTTGTGTTTTTAATTAATTTCTCATTTTAATTCGAGGTTTGCCACGAATACATGGACAAACATGCTTTGGAAGTGATTAAACATGAGAACTTTCTTCAATTGAGCGCTAATGCTGTCAAGGAGCTCGTGTCCAGGGACTCTTTTTATGCACCTGAGATTGATATATTCCTCGCGATGCAGACGTGGGTAAAGGCGAATCCTGAAGTGGATATGAACGAGGTTTTAGGTGAGGAACAATACTTTTCTTTATAATTAGACTAAAATTATTTTGGATTTCCAGTGGTTTTTATTGATACTCTATTTGAATTCTGTCACAAATTCTATTTATCTTTTTTTTAAAATTTGTACACAAGAATTTCTGCAGAAAAAATCTCAAGGGAATAAATCGTAAATTCAACAGAACAATAAAATCTTTTCCTATATTTTATTTTCGATTTTTTCATTAATCTGATATTCGTTAATTTGAATAGTTTTCCTTGATAGCTAGACTGAAATTCCATTTAAATTTAGAATTATTTACTCAATAGTCAATTAACAATACCATATTGACAATTATTTAATTAATACTCAGTTGAAAATTTAAGTTATTAATTATTTATTTATAAACAACAAATGCTAAAAAAAATAATCCTGTGCAAAATATTATTTGAATGATGCTGAATATTCGTGATTCGTTTCAAATTTTTTTCACGCGATTTAATTGACAAATTTGATGATTAAAAATAGTTGAATCTATTAAAATCCTTAATAATTCATCGACATGAAACTCAAATCCAATAAAAAAATCAATAACATTTCCCTAGAAATTCAATGCAATTTTCCACTTAAATTATTGGGTTTTTTCGTTATTTTGTTTTTCATACGTGTAAATTTAATTTTCAGGACAAGTAAGACTTAGTTTAATAGCCATCACCGATCTGTTGAACGTGGTTCGTCCCACTGGCCTCGTATCCCCAGAATCAATTTTAGATGCAATTGCTGCACGCACCCAGACTCGAGATTCTGAGCTTATTTATCGGGGTCGATTGCTGGTCGATGAGAATGTTGCACATCCGAGATATGGAGCCCAAGTACTGCAGGGGGAAATGCGGAGTTATCTGCTGGATGGTGATACACATAATTACGACATGGAACGAGGATATACGAGACACGTCATAACAGAGTTACAGGACCATGGGATTCTTATAAAATTAGGGGTTCAGAGTATTATAAATCATGTGAAAATGCTGCTATGGGACAGAGACATGCGGTCTTACTCATATTATATAGAAGTGAGTAAAAAATTTTCAGAATTACTTCAAGTTTTTTGAAACAACGGCCGTAATAGGATTTTTTTGTATTTAAGATCGCAATTCAGATAGTAAATATGGAAATATTTACTATTTTAGAGATTTCTAAATGACAAATGGGCGACTTTTCGTGGTTCAAATTTAAGTTTCCAATTTTTTGCGGCACACTGAGAGAAAAACCAAGTTTTCAAACATGTCTTACTTCTGCCATGAAAATAGTTTTTTGAAAATTATCAAAAAAGGATTTTTTGTGCCAAACATGCAGAGAGTACGCCGGGAGAAAAAATTTTCGTTGCAAAAATAGATTTAGTAGTTAAAAAAAAAGTCAATAGATTTTTATTTATCTACAGAAATTAAGGGGTATAATTTTTACAAGCTCTCTCCATTGTATTTTTAGTTGAAAAGGAGCTTGGAAAATTTTTGTTCAAGAGTTCTTACAGAAATAATGCCAACAGAATGAGTTGTATATAGAAAACCACATCGATGTATTTTTTTCTATGAACAAATATCCATTGAAATACGCACGTAAAAGTTACATGATTGTCAAAATAATTTTCAGTAGAAAACGCAAAAAACAGACAGAATATTCTATTAAATTTTTTCGTGTGTCCAGATCAATTAGTTTCAGAAAGATTTCTCAATGCAGTGAAAAAATTTCAGGTCTCGATTGATCAAAAAGACTGGGTGAAAGTGATCGACCACTCCGATTATTTCTGTCGTAGCTGGCAGTACTTGTATTTCGAACCACGAGTAGCTTTATATGTTCGTATTGTTGGAACAAACAACACAGTCAACAAGGTAAATTCGAGTGGATCCCTTCCCTGAGAAAACCCCTCAATCCCTTCAATGAATTTAATTAATGATGACAATTTGAACCTCAGGTTTTTCATGTCGTGAGCTTCGAAGCTTACTACACCAATCACTCGGAGAAATTATCTAGAGGCTTCATCATGCCCTCTGAAAACGTCGCGACGATGGACAGGAGTGCCAGTGTTATCGAAGGTGTGAGCAGGTCTCGAAACGCTCTCCTGAATGGCGATACTTCGAATTATGATTGGGACAGTGGTTACACCTGTCACCAACTTGGCTCTGGTTCGATCTTGATACAGCTTGGGCAGCCCTATATGATTGATTCTATGAGGTAAGTTTAGATTTTCCACAATTTCCGAAAAAAAATGTTCTCAATTCACCGATTGATGGCTTAAAAAATTTGTTTGGATGCCCTTTCGCCAAGCAATTACTAGCAATTTTGAATTCAATGAATCTAATTGCATTCAGTTTAAAACAAGTGTAAAATTGTAGTTATTTTTTAAATTTTAATCAATGTCGATGGATAGGACTCGACTCCCCCTACATTTGAGAAAATAAAATAATCAGTCTTATAGAATTTTATCCAAGAATTGTTATCTCATGATAAAATCCTCTTCAGATTGCTCCTGTGGGATTGTGACGATCGTTCTTACTCCTACTACATCGAGGTGTCAGGTAACTCCTGGAATTGGGAGAGAGTGGCCGACAAAACGTCCGAGGCTTGCAAGTCATGGCAGACACTTCGATTCAACCCACCAAGGCCCATTGTATTCATTCGTATCGTAGGTACACATAATACCGCTAATGAGGTGTTCCACTGCGTCCACATCGAGTGCCCAGCGAGGCTGGAGACAGCTAGTGATTCTAAATCACCGAGGAAAAATAAACGACAACCCTCAGTGGTGAACGCAAGCACTCTGATACCCCCAACTCCACCAGAAACTGCGACTGAAGCCGTCAATATCGATCGGGACGACGGAAATTCGACGGATGATTCGGCTGTCTCTGCTGGTCTCCCCTGAATTGAAGTCTCGTCTCATTCGACAGCCGAAGGAAGCCACAATAATTTTATATCTGATGAAAATTCTTTTGTTACTGCACAGAGAAACCGAACAACAATAACAATTCCCCTCACGTATGAAAAACATTGATGGAAAAACCTAGAGCTTTTCATAGGGAATTCTATTTAAATTCTGTTGGAAATTCCGATTTTTCGAGAGACATTTAAGAGAGAAAAATCAATCTATTCATTTTCTTTAAACAAATATATTTCCCATCAGAATTTTCAACAGCCCTTCAATAGAAACTGTTAAATTTTTTCACGCGTACTGTCATCACTGTATCTAGTACATAATGAAATTATTACTAATTACTTTTAACATATCTCACGGAATTTTCAATCTATATTTTTTTATTTTTCGTATCCACTTTGTTACGAGTGTTTTCATCCCAACAGTATTCTTCCTGCAGGCGATTGTCCTCTCCAGGTGATGTGGATCAATTATAATCCCTTTATCTCACTCGAAGTAGAAGAAGATGTAAATATCGCAAACACTCGGTTCATTCAGTTTTACTCTCTTTGTAATCTAGTCAATCTGCTGTTTGTTAAACTGAAAAATAACGTAGATTTCCATTGAAGCCTCGAAATTTTATGTATAGCAGAGAAAATCTAATAAATTGTTCATGTAGAATTGTTGAATTTATTCTACCTCGAGTATTTCAGCCCATTTAAAGTAGCTCTACCCTTCGGCCGGGCTACGCTGTACTTTTGGATATTTTCAGTTTTTAAATTTTTCAACTAAATTGCATGGAGAAAATTTGAAAAAAATCATACCCAGTCAGTATTATCTAAATTAAATTTCGCAAAATATTGATATTTTTCAAACATTTCCCTCTTATCAATAAATAATAAAACTTGTTTGCCAAACGGCGGATTATTTTTTATGAGGTGTCGAAAAAATTCTCGATTTTTTCACAGCTAATGAAAAAAAAATTCTGATTTTAATCTTTGATTACAATAGAACTGTTATTTTTCACATAAGACACTGGGTTAAATCCTGATTTTTAAACATCTCTTCTTTGAAAAACCAAAACGATAACTAAATTGAGAAAAAAATTGGAATTCCGAATCTAATCGAGTTTTCTGCAATTTTTTGCAGTTTTCAATAATCTTTGAATTTATCGTAAGGGTAGAGCTACTTTAAAACCCAGGCAAGGGAATAATCATGTAAATGTCATGAATTTCAGGAGTTTTTGAAGATTATTTCCAGCATTTAATGAACATTTAATTATGCTTTTATCATGATTTTTATTACCATATTTAAATATTATTGCATCTTATATTTAATATATCATGTTATATATCCTATAATATCTTGAATTTAAAAAAATATGTCATATAATATAATTTGTCGATTAATCATATATTTTTATTGTCTAAAGTAGTTGAGAATTAATGAATAAATGAATCAGTCATTTTCTAACATTCGAATGAATCGTCTGTACGATGTTATGTGTCAAATACATGATGTTATTCACATGTGTGTGTGCACGGGCTGCCATTGGCGCCCACACCACAGCTTCTAAACTCGACATTTCTCGAAAAATAATAGCAAAGTGCGAAATGTTCGTCAATGAGACATCGGATTAGTTTATCGACTCGTGAATCGGATTAGTTTATCGTGTTATGGTTTGCGTACGATAATTGTGAACAAATTAGTGAATAATGATGCCGATAACAGCTGATCACAAACCGCACCTGTTGTTTTTGGCGGAACAGCCAGTTCAAGGTAAATATGTCATTATCATGCATTCGAATGAAAAGTAGAATTTTTACGTTTTTGTTAATCGTGACATTATTTCCTTTCAGTGGTCCAGGATTTCTGTAAATTAGTCGCCGATTACCTGCAGAGGGGGCCGAACTTGAAATTGTATACAGCTGCAGCACGTGAGTTTTGTTCATGCATAAATAAAATTTTTTTTAAAATTTATTCTTCAATTTTTTATCGCTCACATTCGAATTTTGCGAAAAATTGAGTTTTGGAAACAAATTTAGACGAGGGATTCAACATAACCCCTATTAATGCGGGGCTATAGGGCTATAGCTATAGTTAATTTCTGCAGGCCTAGTTTTGGAGAAGAAAATGCGCGAAACAAAATTCGTAGAAAAACCTAGCGAATTTGACAGAAAATTTCCAATAGAAACTACACTGAGAGAAAAACGACAGAGGTCTCAAACAAGTCTTACTTGTGCCAAGAAAATAGTTTTTTGAAAATTATCAAAAAGGTTTTTTTCGTGCCAAACGTGCAGAGTCCGCCGGAGTTATAACTTTTTGTCGCAAAACTAGATTTAGTAGTGAAAAAAAAATCTCTGTACACGCAAGAAATGTCATTTCTTGCACTACTCCTTCGTTATTCGATACTCCCATTCGTATTTTGCTCCCGAAAAATCTTTGTTTCATGCGAAACAAGGGATAGTAGTTCTTCGTTTCGGCTGTCTAATAATCGCAGACAAGAAATGAACCCTCAAATGAAACAATAATAATGACATGATATCAATCTTGTAACTTAGGGATAAAATATGTTGATAAATTTTCCTCTAAATGAGATATTTTCATCCTGGAAAGGCACCGTCTGGTGTGAACTATCCGCCTCTTGAGCCAAATATTTAGTTGTTGTCGAGAGCAGAACAATTATGTTTGAGACTTTAAAGCTCGAACCAAACAAATTCTTTTTTGGCAATTGTCAACTAGCGATTTTGTTGATCCAAACAAGACTCGTTTGACAACGTCTTTGTTTTACTCTCAGTTTTACAGAAAAAAAAAATACTAGAATTCAGAGGTTTCTATACAACTTATTTCTGCTCAAATTCCTCGAAATAGATTATCCTAGTGTTTTGTCACCGTATTTTAATTTTTTAAACAAAAAAAAACAGCAAATTTGAGCCAAAAGATGACATAAAACTTAACTTTCAGAAAAACTTGACGTCGAATCGAAAGTAATTCAAAATTCCGTGGAAGGATTGGTGTACTTGCTAGTTGAATGCACGAAAAACAGGGTAAAAATAAAACTCTTACACTGACCAGATGCCCCTATTGTCAGCTATCTCATACTTGATCTGTATTTTAGTTGAACCTCGAGGCATTCAAAACGCTGATAAACGACGTAGGCTTCACTGATGAGAACCAATCACTCTTGTGTTCCCTCTATACTGAGAGACAGCAAGAACTCCACGATGCATTATCCAATATTGGCTTCAGTGTACCACAGTTCCACAACCTGGAATGGAGATTCGAAGTGCAGGTAGATTCCAATCCAATTCAGTAGCGAAGTGGTAAAAAGGTTTAAGTCGACTCATCTACCAGTTGAGTCTTCGAGGAATATTTCCGAATCTAAGGGAGATAGCGAAATTTTCGTAATCACATTTGTTGTAGCTCTCAATCGGCTCTACAAAAAAGGTTATAACAACAATTTTGATATCTCTCTGGGATTCCGAGATATTCACTGAAACCTGTTCAATAGTCAAAATTGACTTGTACCCTTTTGCCACTTCGCTACTGAATTAATTGTTTAATAGTCAATTGGAAATTAAAGTTATTTTCAAATTTCAACAAAAAATTACATTTGTTGTAGCACTCAATGGGCTCTACAAAAAAGTTTATAATAAAAATTTTGCCATTTTCCTTAGATTCCGAGATATTCATTGAAAACTGGTCAATTGTCAAAATTGACTTGAACCAGTTTCCACTTTGTTGAACTCATTCTGAATCTCAATCAAAAACGCTCTTTGAAAAAGTTCAGAATTTTTTCTATTTCTTTTATCATTCTATTATAATTTTTGGGAATTTCTACATGAGGTACCACTCAGTTGACAAATTTGGATTACGAAAGATAAAAAAATCCAGATAAAATGATAATAAATAATAATAATTAAACAGTGATTAAATAATTCATAATTATTTAATAATAATAATAATAATAATAATAAATTAGTTATTAATTATTAGTTAATTGTAATAATTATGATAACAATTAACTCTTCTGCTAGATCGCATCAAGATCTCTCCTGCACCAGGTAGTCCCCTCCGTTCTGTTGGACTTGACCCTGAAGAATCCTGGAAAATCCTCGCCAGAACAGCACGTCACCCTCCAATCAGATCCTCGAAATCTCCTCCATTTAACTCAAGAACTCGAGGCTGCCATACAAGAGGGTCGCAGTCAGCACATTCGTAAAATAAAGAGGAGTATAAAGTAATGTAAAACTGTGCAATTTTACGAATAGAAAGCAATAAAAGAAACCTTGAGACAAACTTGATCGATCGAGCATAATTTACTCTGACAAATGCCCCTACGACCATTACCATCCCGAGGAAGACCCGAAATAATATAATTTCATATCGGAATATTGAATAAAATGTTTCCTTGGCTTCTCGCAGTCGTATAAAAAGGAATGATGCAAGCATCATTCGTACTGACCACTGGATTGATCAGTACCACAAAGTATTGATGTCTCGGGAATTGCGAGGCTCATTCTCATGGTCCTGAGTCGAGTCAAGAAAAATACCCTCAATTTTATTTGCTTCGCCCGCCAGTAAACAGGAGTAATGGAACAAATAGTTGAGAACGTAACGTCAGCGCTGGAGATGTTGTCCCTCAGCTCATCATCGGCGACGCTGATGAATCATGTTGCGACGGTGGGACCTAAGGCCGCCCGACAGTGGATGCGCTACAGCAATCAGACTGTCGCCGACAAAGTGCCGGAGGAAATGCTGAGTTTAATTGACCCACACTGGTATCAGTTTCCACCGATGGATCCACTGTGGCACAAATTGCTCGGCCTGGTGATGATTGTCATTGGAATTCTCGGCTGGTCTGGCAACGGCGTTGTTGTCTACGTATTTTTGTTCACACCAGCCTTGAGAACACCCTCCAATCTTCTGGTTATCAATCTGGCGTTTTCCGATTTTCTCATGATGATTATACAGTCGCCGCCTATGGTCGTCAATTGCTGGTATGAGACGTGGGTACTGGGTGAGTACCCTATCCTATTCCTTATTTTCTATTCGATGTAGGGCAAACTGCCCAGTAGATGGACGTTTGTTTTTTAGCAATTGAAAAAAAAATTGATCGAAAAAAAATCGTCACTCAGGGGTTAAATCACAAGTTAGTGAAAATTCAAAGCGACAATTCACATTTCAGTATTTTTTTAAGTACGTAGATGTTTATTTTTCCATACAACTTATTCTGTGCGATTTTTTTAGTAAAAAAAATTAACATTTTGTAACGAAAAATAAAAAAATCAAAACCCGAAACCCCAAAAAAATCATAGGCAAGACATTCCCCATTCAAAATCTCAAAAGAATAAATAACATCCAATAATTGAAGTCAAAATCAGTAGAAAAAATCACCAAGAAACGGAGAAAAATACTGACAATTGTAAAATGAATAATTACTTAAAATTAAATTAAATAATTCATTAATGAATTATTAATTAAATTAATTAAATTTCAATTAATTTTAAAATAATACTAATTTTACGGAATTCTGTGAAATTTCGCATTTTTTCATCCTCGATATCGCTCCTAACTAATTAATTAATTCAGGAATTTTTTTCATTTAATTGATTAGTTAGGAGCGATTAGTTTATCGCTCCTAACTAACTAATTAATTAATTTAATTAGACTAACTAATTAGTTAATTTAATTAGTTAGTTTAGTTAGTTTAATTAAATTAATTAAATTTCAATTAATTTTAAAATAACACTAATTTTACGGAATTCCGTGAAATTTCGCATTTTTTCATCCTCGATATCGCTCCTAACTAACTAATAAATTAATTCAGGAATTTTTTTAAATTTAATTAATTAGGCTAACTAATTAATTAATTAAATTAGTTAGTTTAATTAAATTAATTAAATTTCAATTAATTTTAAAGTTACACTAATTTTACGGAATTCCGTGAAATTTCGCATTTTTTAATCCTCGATATCGCTCCCATCAATTACCACTGAATTATGAAATTCAAGGGCCGCTAATGTGTGACATATACGCAATGGTGGGTTCGCTGTGCGGTGGTGCCTCGATATGGACAATGACAGCGATAGCTTACGATCGTTACAACGTCATCGTCAAGGGGATGTCGGGCACTCCGTTGACAGTGACCAGAGCCCTAATCCAGATCCTCATAATCTGGTCGTTCTCCTTCCTGTGGACAATCCTGCCGATGCTCGGCTGGAACAGATACGTCCCCGAGGGCAACATGACTGCCTGTGGAACCGACTACCTCACCAAGGACTGGGTATCCAGATCGTACATCCTCGTCTACAGCGTCTTCGTGTACTACACCCCATTATTCACCATAATCTACAGCTACTGGTTCATCGTGTCAGCAGTCGCAGCCCACGAGAAGGCGATGAGGGAGCAGGCCAAGAAGATGAACGTCGCTTCTCTGAGAAGTGGAGAGCAAGACTCCACCAGTGCCGAAGCTAAACTGGCTAAGGTAGCTTTAACAACAATTTCGTTGTGGTTCATGGCATGGACTCCCTATCTCGTCATAAATTATACTGGAATCTTCGAAACAGCTACGATCAGCCCACTCTTCACCATCTGGGGCTCTCTCTTCGCTAAAACCAACGCCTGTTACAACCCCATCGTCTATGGCATCAGTCATCCGAAGTACAGAGCAGCTCTCCACCAGAAATTGCCATGTTTCGTTTGCGGATCAACTGAGCAGTCAACTCGGGGGGGCGGTGATACGGCATCGCAAACCACTACAGCTGGGGGGAAGGCTTAAAACAATAAGACAATGTGAATTTTCAATTTCATCGAGACTTTCTTGTTATGTTTTCGAGAATAAAATTCAAGAATGAAAAGAAATTGTGGAAAAATCTGGGGCACGTTCTTAATAAGAATGTTTAATACGAAATATTTTACAAAAAAACAGTAGATTTTTCGTTTTTGTTAATGAAGGGAGAGAAAATGCAATGAAGAAAAAACTTGGAAAATTTATACCGAGGAATTTTCTATAGAAAATATGAAAACGGCTTAAAACAATAAGACAATGTGAATTTTCAATTTCATCGAGACTTTCTTGTTATGTTTTCGAGAATAAACTTCAAGAATGAAAAGAAATTATGGAAAAATCTGGGGCACGTTTTTAACGGGAATGTTTAATACGAAATATTTTACAAAAAAACAATAGATTTTTCGTTTTTGTTAATGAAGGGAAAGAAAATGCAATGAAGAAAAAACTTGGAAAATTTATACCGAGGAATTTTCTATAGAAATTGTGAAAATGGCTTAAAACAATAAGACAATGTGAATTTTCAATTTCATCGAGACTTTCTTGTTATGTTTTCGAGAATAAAATTCAAGAATGAAAAGAAATTATGGAAAAATCTGGGGCACGTTCTTAATAAGAATGTTTAATACGAAATATTTTCGAAAAAACAGTAGATTTTTCGTTTTTGTTAATGAAGGGAGTGAAAATGCAATGAAGAAAAAACTTGGAAAATTTATACCGAGGAATTTTCTATAGAAAATATGAAAACGGCTTAAAACAATAAGACAATGTGAATTTTCAATTTCATCGAGACTTTCTTGTTATGTTTTCGAGAATAAAATTCAAGAATGAAAAGAAATTATGGAAAAATCTGGGGCACGTTCTTAATAAGAATGTTTAATACGAAATATTTTACAAAAAAACAGTAGATTTTTCGTTTTTGTTAATGAAGGGAGAGAAAATGCAATGAAGAAAAAACTTGGAAAATTTATACCGAGGAATTTTCTATAGAAAATATGAAAACGGCTTAAAACAATAAGACAATGTGAATTTCCAATTTCATCGAGACTTTCTTGTTATGTTTTCGAGAATAAAATTCAAGAATGAAAAGAAATTATGGAAAAATCTGGGGCACGTTTTTAATGGAAATTTAATACGAAATATTTTACAGAAAAAAACAATAGATTTCTTGTTTTTGTTAATGATGAAAAAACTTGGAAAATTCATAACAAGAAATTTTTTGCAGAAAACGTTTCAATGGAATGAGCTGCCCAGGGAAAATCATCAGTTGTAATTTTTTCTTGTTGAATATTTCTATGGAATATCGTCATCGTGAACTGGTACTTATTAATAATGATGAAAATGGTGACGGGAATATTGAAATGATAATAAAGACAGTTGTTGCTTCAAGGGTTGATTTAATATTACAAAATTCAAGACAGATACAACGATGCTGCCAATCCGATGGACTGTTACATTCCACACGCATTTCAGTATCAAGAGGGGGAAAAACGATGCCCAATCGACGTATCAAGTAACAGTCGAGTCAAATTGTGGTGCAAGATGATTCTAGAACTTGATAATGGATGGGGCCAACGATTTTTCCCTCCTAGAGTATTTTCCCGGTGAGCTTGATACCGCAGTCGAGTCGGTTCGGTGTTTCTACCCTTCGGTGTCTCCATCGCCCGTCCCAATGGTGTAAAATTTTCGTCAAGTTTCCAATGGATAAAACATTGATTTCGCGTCGTAAACGGTCGAAAAATCCAGACTCTGAATGGTGTGACTCTGGAGACACCTGAACTCGCTCCAAGATTCAATATGAGTCTCTGCGTGTGATCGAGTGAGCAATTGTTAAAGTATTTGCATGTCCGTAAGATGATCTATTTGCAAATTCGAGATTCAGTTGGAGAGATCTCGAGGGCGATCCTTGGAATCGCGCAAATTGGAGGAATTGCTGCTTATGCGGAGGCTTTCTCGCCTTCGGTGACGGTCGTTGTGGTTGATGTAGCGTCACTTCCTGATGATTGAGAGCCACCACAGGCCAGTGAGGGGAATCGCTGGAAGAGGGCTGCACGATATTTAGGGTGGCTGTGAAGAATTAAAATTTTTCTGAGTTATCCCCGGTTTTGTTTAAGATTAATCTTAATCTTAATCTTAATCTGTTGTTCATCTCATCAATATAATTTCGTGCTTAGAATATTGTCATCTCGTGTTTTCAGCACCAAATTAAAAATCAAAAGTTAAAAGTTAATTTGGAATATTGAGTCACGACTTCTTTTTATTTATATCAGAAATTTTGTATTTGGATATTAATATTATTTGTTCAAAGTGAGAAAATCGATCATCATTTTCACTATATTGCATTCAGATTCTCCGATCCTTAACGTCAAAAATGTGAGAAAATGTGAGTGTGATTCAATTCTCTTTTGTTTGATAGACGGGCTTCATGAAAATTCGACACAAGACGATTGTACTCATGTGAACATTCAAAATTTCCAAACATGAGGGATAAATAACAGTATGAAGAGGCCTTGCGCCAAACGAAAATTTGTTCATTTTTATAGAAAATAGATTAAATGATTTGAGGATGATTCGATGAGAATAAATAATTTAAAGAAATGTTTAAAAATTCGAGGTGGGAGCGCCGCCATCTTTGAAACCCCTTGCGACAGGGAAGGGATACCCAACCAAGATGGCGGCGACACTCGTCAACCACCTCGGATTTTCAAAGATTTCTTAAAATTATTGATCCCTTTCAGATCGCCTTCAACTCGTTTCACCCAGCTCCTAGCGAAAGAACAAATCTTTCAAGCTATCCTCCGAATTTCTTCGTCCCCTTTTGGCTGAGAATTCACAACACAAACTTTCCCTCGCATTTCAGTATTTTTTTTCTCTTCTGTGACCTTGGAAATGATTCAGTCGTGTTTCAATAATTGAATAATTCGATTACCTGATGCCGTAGACAATTGGATTGTAGACGGCATTGGCCTTGGCGAAGACTGATCCCCAGATAGTGAAGAGAGGGCTGATCTTGGCACTCTCGAAGACACCGGCGTAGTTGATGACGAGGTAGGGGGTCCACGCCATGAACCACAGGGAGATCGTCATGAGGGCAACCTTGGCCAATTTGCACTCAGCACTCTGTGCCTGGTTCTCAGCTGACCTGAGAGACGCGACATTCATCTTCTTGGCCTGCTCTCGCATGTTCTTCTCGTGGGCTGAAACAGCCTGGATGATGAAGTAGTAAGAGTAGATGATGAGGAGGAGTGGAGAGTAGTACACGAAGATGCTGTAGACCAGGATGTAGGAGCGCGACAACCAATCCTTGTTGAGGTAGTCAGTGCCGCAGGCAGTCATGTTGCCCTCGGGGACGTATCTGAGTGAAACATTGGATTGATTGATTGATTGGCTTTTTTTTCTCCAGGGAAATGCTTTCCTACTTTTACAGTCGAATATCAGAATTTTATATCAATTTTATATCAGAAATTTTGTATTTGGATATTAATATTATTTGTTCAAAGTGAGAAAATCGATCATCATTTTCACTATATTGCATTCAGATTCTCCGATCCTTAACGTCAAAAATGTGAGAAATGCTTTCCTACTTTTACAGTCGAATATCAGAGCTGAGAGAAAAACGAAGTTCTCAGCCAAGTCTTACTTGTGCCAAAAAAATATTTTTTTGTATTTAAGATCGCAATTCAGATAGTAAATATGGAAATATTTACTATTTTAGAGATTTCTAAATGACAAATGGGCGACTTTTCGTGGTTCAAATTTAAGTTTCCAATTTTTTGCGGCACACTGAGAGAAAAACCAAGTTTTCAAACATGTCTTACTTCTGCCAAACAAATAGTTTTTTGAAAATTATCAAAAAAGGATTTTTTTGTGCCAAACATGCAGAGAGTGCGCCGGAATGAAAAATTTTTGTTGCAAAAATAGATTTAGTAGTTCAAAAAAAATTCTCTGTACACGCAAGAAATGTCATTTCTAGCACTACTCCGTTATTCGATACTCCCATACGTATTTTGCTCCCGAAAAATCTTTGTTTTGTGCGAAACAAGGGATAGTAGTTTTTCGTTTCGGCTGTCTAATAATCACAGACAAGAAATGAACCCTTAAATGAAACAATAATAATGATATGATAGCAATCTTGTAACTTAGGGATAAAATATTTGTTGATAAATTTTCCTCTGTATGAGATATTTTCATCCTGAAGAGGCACCGTCTGGTGTGAATTATCCGCCTCTTGAGCCAAATATTTCGTTGCTGTCGAAAGCAGAGCAATTATTCATGTTTGAGACTTTCAAATTCGAACCAAAGAAATTATTTTTTGGCAATTTTCAACTAGCGATTTTGTGGGGCCAAACAAGACTTGTTTGACAACGTGTTTGTTTTTCTCTCAGTGAATAGAAACGATATGTACCGGTTCCATCCGAAGAAGGGCGCGACAGTCCATGCAAGTGAGAACACCCAGATTCCAAGAATTCGCAGGAGTGCTCCATTGATGGTCATGGGTTTGCCTGCAAGTCCTTTAACAATGACGTTGTATCTGTCAAATGCAATCATAGTCATTGACCAAATGGAGCCACATCCGAACAGAGAACCGGCACAGGCGTACAGCTCGCACATGAGTGGTCCGAAAACCCACGTCTCGTAATAGCAGTTTATCACCTGCAACAACATCCATGATATTTTTACAAATCCACTCTATATCCGACGAACAATTGGAATGCTTGTCTTTTCCTGGGTGCAGACACTGGGGTTTTCTCAGTATTTTTGCTCTTTTTCGCATGTACGAAAACATTTCACAGAAAAAATTGGTGAATTCAATGAAAATTTCTATAGACTTCTATTGACAATTCTATTAGTTTTCTGCTGATTCTATTGAAAAATTGTGCAGCTCATCTGCGAGTTTTTTTTCAATAGAAATGTTCGATTGAAAATTTTCTATAAAAAAAACTCTATAGACTTGGATTTTTTTCAATAGAAACTATTTCGTTGAGATATTTTCTATAGAAATTTATCGGCTCAAATTTTTCAAGGTTTTTCGTTGATTTTTGAAATGAAGGAATTCCTATAGAAAATGCATCAATAGAAAAAATTGAAAGTGAATTTTACTGATTTTTTCTATAGAATAATTATATTCGACATTTTCTATAGAAAACGTGCAGTGAAGCTGCAGAATTCGTCAACAAAATCGATCAACAATTAATTGATTTTTCAATAAAAGTTCAATAGAAATCTAATAGAATTTTCTATCGAATTCACTAATTTTTTTATAATTTTTTTTTTGAACGGCGAAAACACTGAGGATTCAGGCCTGATCACGTATGAAACAATTGAGTAGAAAAGCCTAGCGAATGTCTATTGGATTTTTCTTCAACTTTCTATTAGTTTTCTATAGAATGGCTGATTCTATTTCAACGTTCAATAGAAAATATTCTACAGAAAAAGTCGATAGAATTCAATTTTCGTATACAATTTCTATTTACATATTTTCTACAGAATTTTCTCTGCTCAAATTTTCGAAAATGAGAAAAAAATAGAATGAAAAAAACTTGAGCCGAGGAAATTCTATAGAAAATATCTGAACAGAATAATTTGTACAGAAAAATCCAATTCTATTGAATTTTTCTATAGAATACTATCTATTGAACATTCCTATAGCATCGGCCAAAAAATAATAGCGAGTTCAATAGACATCCAATAGAATTGCCTGGCGAATTCACGAGGTTTTTCTATTAAATTTTTTTCCGTGCGCGTTGGGTGATTTTTTCCCCCGTCCGGGATGCGTACCATCGGTGGAGCCATGCAGGTCATCATGGCGAAATCAGAGAATGCGAGGTTGACGACCAGCAGATTGCTCGGTGTTCTGAGTGATTTCGTCGAGGAGAAGATGTAGATGACCATTCCATTGCCGATAATAGATACAAAACCGAGACAGCCGATGACGAAACCGAGAATTCCGTGCCACAATGGGTTCATTGGTGGAAATTGATACCAGTGGGGATCGATCATGTGGAGCATATCAGCTGGTACCTTGTCCACGACGGTTTGGTTTCCACCAGCTCCGCCATACGTGTAAGCGGCAAAACTAGGTCCTGCTAAAGTCGCCATTGCTCCCTGACCGGTGAAAATTAAATTAATAATTGAACGATCATAACGTGCGTCGATTAGCGGGAACTTGTACCAGGAAATTCTACTGAATTTCCATTCAACTTTCTACTAGTTTTTGGATAAAGCTATAGAAAAATTTCGCAGCTTACTTTTTGTTTCAATAGACAAGTTCAATGGAAAGTATTCCATAGAGAGAAATCTATAGAATTCGATTCTTCTGCACAAATTATTGAAATATTGTCTGTAGAAATTCCTCGGCTCAAATTTTCCAAATTTTTCTGGTAATTTTTTTAATGAAGGGAAAAAAATCTAGAAAAACTGAAAATTCTAGTTGAAAAATTTTTGTAGAAAATATCTCAATAGAAAAAGATAAAATTTTACCGATCTTCTATAGAAATGTAGATCTTCTATAGAAATTCCTCGGCTCAAATGCTCCAAGTTTTTCTATTTATTTTTTTTAATGAAGGGAGAAGGAAAATAAACTAGAAAAAACTCAGAAAATTCACCTCGCAAAATTTCTATAGAAAATATTTCAATAGAAAAAGTCATCTAGGAAGAAACAATTCTACTGATTTTTTTCTATAAAAAAGTGTCTATTGGACGTCTACTATGAAAAAATGTGGAGTAGAGATGGAATTCTTCAATAGAATCGGCCAAAAACTTATAGAACTTTCAATAGAACTCCAATAGAATTTTCCGTCAAATGCACTAGGTGTTTCTACATTTTTTTTCGTGCATGCATTAATCTCAATAAAACTCAATAAAAATGATTAATGAAAAATACTTCGTAGAGAGAAGTCTATAGAATTCGATTTTCCAGCATAAATTATTCTATCAAGATATTTTCTATAGAAATTCCTCAGCTCAAATTTTCCTAGTTTTTTTGTTTATTTTTTTTGAATGAAGGGAGAAGAAAAATAAGGTGCAAAAAACTCGGAAAATTCAGCTTTCGAAATTTCTATAGAAAACATATCAATAGAAAAAGTCATCTAGGAAAATAAAATCCTACTGATTTTTTCTATAAAAAAATTTCTATTGGACATCTATAAAAGAACGGGGAGTACAGGTGCGTAATTCTTCAATGAAATCGATCAAAAACTAATAAAAATTCAATAGAAATCAATAGAATTAATAGAATTCCTATAGAATTCGCTGGGTTTGTCTATAAAATTTACTCGTGTGTGCTCACCTCTGGGGTACTTGGAAAAAATCGTAGCGAGACGAACTAGTCCAAGTATAATTGTTGAAGTGTGGGTTCACGTTTTTGCTGAGGAAGTTGGAAGGTATGGAGCTTTTTTGACGACTATCGGATGCGGCTCGGCTAGGCGCCTCCAATGTCTGCTTAAATATGTACCACTGTTGTGGCAGTGGCACTTCATTTGTACCCTTTAGAGGAGTGACCGATATATCCAAGTACAACATATAAACCCCCAAATAGTCTTAAGAAGCTTGTTTATTGAATTAGGGAGGACTTAAGAATACCGTTGAAAGACGTCGTCACAACAAGAAGTGAAGCCTTAGGGAGGAATAAATAAATATAGATTATGTAAACTCGAGGGGTGGAAAAGTTCCCACAAAATTATACTGTACGAGTGAAACAATTTCACTGAATATTCTATTGAATTTCCATTGAATTTTCCATCAGTTTTTGGCCGTTTTTTCAATAGACATATGCAGTGGAAGATATTCTCGAAAAAAAAATCAATCTAATTTGATTTTTCTGCGCAACGTATTCTATTGAGATATTTTCTATAGAAATTTCTCGGCTCAAATTTTTATGGTTTTTTGCTGGATTTTTTAATGAAAAAAAAATTGAGTGGAAAAAACTTGGAAAATTTGTATTGAGGGATTTCTATAGACATTGTCCCAATAGAAAAAGTGCTATAGAAAGACAAAATGCTACTGATTTTTTATAGAATAATTTCTGTTGGACATTTTCTATGTGAAGAATGCGCCGTGAGCTGCGGAATTCTGCAATAGAATCGATGAGAAACGAATATAATTTTCAATAGAAGTCAATAGAAATCCAATAGAATTGAGTTTCTATTAGATTTTCGGCTATTCTATTAAAAAATTCCGCAGCTCATCTGCACGTTTTTTCCAACAGAAATATCCAGTGGAAATTATTCTATAGCCAAAATCAATATAATCCAATTTTCCTATATGACATTCTATTGACTTTTTCTATAGACATTTCTCGGCTCAAACTTTCCAAGATTTTTGCTCAATGTTTGTCTAATGAAAAAAAAATGAGTGGAAAAAACTTGAAAAATTCACGTCGAAGAAATCCTATAGGAATTTCTCAATAGAAAAAGAGCTATAGAAATATGAAATTCTGGGGACATTTTCTATAAAATTATATCCATTGGACTTCTTCCATCGAAAAAAAACACAGACCTGCGGAATTCTTCAATAGAATCCGCCAAAAACTAATTTTTAATAGAAAATTCAATAGAAATTCAATAGAATTTCCTATAGAACCGTTCCATAATTCCACCAATTTTCTCATGCATGATTCGTCTATTTCATTGATCAAAAACATGAAGTTTTTTTGATCCAAAAATTTTTTTTTCACGCTATGTTTGATGATATCGAAATCAAATATCCAAACGCTCCCGAATGTTCATAAAAATGTTATAATTATTAGAATTGGGATTAATGACAATATTCAAAGACTGGAAAAGTCTGAAGTTGTGTAAGACATGTATATTTGTTTTATAAACACGCAGGTGACTTCAGGCTATTCAGCGAGAGCGTGGGCGATAGGAGCAGGTGTGCAGGTGCAGCTGCCCCTGGCGCAGCCCTTTCCCTTATGTTTCCCATCGTGTAGTTGTTAAAGTAACTATTACTTCAGCAGTATCAACACAAATGGATTCTCTCGTATCAAAACACATCGGAGAGTATCTCCCAGACGGGATGAAATTATTTCGAAGTGAAAATGTTACTGCGACGTTTCTATCAGGTGGTGAATAGCAATTTCACGCAGCAGTCGGGGATTTTCACAGGAAATTTTTTTTTGCGAGGGTTAAGTTGTTGAGGACATCTTTTGTTCTGTCCCTTCATACCCCCATCGCGAGAAAGGAGATGGTGAATTAATTGCTGAATACGAGGATGGCGTTTTCGATGAGAGCTGGCACTCAGTGGTGTCACGATTTTCCGAAGCTCGCACGTGAGTCTGGTTTCTACTTCAACGTTCATAGAACTCCAGTGCGCATCGATTGGAATCGTATAAGTATGGTTTCCTCTTAGGGGATGGTGGGGTAAAATGGACACTGGACTTTTTTGAAATTATTTATAACTCAGAAACAAATTTAGCAATTCAGTAGCGAAGCGGTAAACCGGGTCAAGTCGATTTTTACTATTGGCTAGTTTTTGACGAATATCTCGGAATCTAGAAGAGATAGAAAGATCTTTGTCATGACCTTTTTTGTAGAGCCAATAGAGCGCTATAAAAAAAGTCTTGAGGAAAATTTTGCTATCTCTCTTAGATTCCGAGATATTCAGCACGATTCTCAAAGAAATTGATCTCAAATGTATCGAAATCGTCTCAAATTTTCTCGACGTCTGCAAACTAAAAATATAAACTTTCTGAATCATAACACAAAGATTAATGTAAGTACCTAGTGTTACACTCTACGTAATGACGTATATATATATATATNTATAACAAAAAAAAAAAAAGATATTCAGCAAAAACTAGCTAATAGTCAAAATCGACTTAACTCGGTTTACCGCTTCACTACTGAATTGAGCTCAGTTTTGGCTCGTCACAAAGGGAAAGAGTTGTTCTTTGTATTAAAAAAAAAATTATTAAATTTTATCACCATTTCAACCCCTCAATAATATTTTTAGAACAGTCAAAAGTGTCCGTTTTACCCCAGCCTCCCGTGTATGTATAATTTTTCCTCGCCTGTATACACGAGACAATCATAAATTTTCAGGTACGATAGATATTGAGCGTTTAATGAGAGAACGAGACTTTTTAACAATTGACGAAAACGTCAACAACGTCGTGGATTACTCGTTAGAGAGTGCCTATGACATCAAAATTCTCGATCCAAATTTCGTAAAAATATTCAGACTCGCTCAGCTGTCGGTGGAGTACCTGCTGTATTGCAGGCAGTACCTGGACCAGAGTGTTATCATTCTAAAGGATGACTTGAAACTGCGACTCGAGGAAAACCACAAACTCAAGAGAGAATTGTCGACCGCGGATGAGCAGATCAAGGACTTGAAGGAGAAATCCAGGGAGAAACACAAATGGCTTGAGAAAAAGTTCAGTGATTCGAGTGGTGAAATCCACAAGGTAATAATGATCTAGTGATATGAATCAATCGATGTGTAGACAATCCTGAGAGAAATCTTCTATATTTTCTCATTATTTGTCATTTTAAAATCACAGAGTTTTTGTACGCAGAAACGAATTCGAAAATTCTATTGAATTCCCTTCTACTAGTGTTTGGCTGATTCATTTGAAAAATGGCAGCTCATCTTTTCTTTTTAATAGAAATGTTCAACGGAAATATTCTAAAGAGAGAAATCAGTAGAATTTGATTTCTTTTGTACAATTTATTCTGTTGAGATGTTTTCTGTAGAAATTTCTGGGCTCGATTCTGCAAGTGTCTTTGTTTGATTTTTCAAATGAGATCTTCGAACATGCTAAATTTATTCATAACAAACAAATTATTCAACACATTGAAATTTAACTTCTGCCATTCGATAGAAGGATCATTCAAGTATTTTCAGTAGAAATTTTAAAATTTTTGGGGAAAATTTTGCCGATTAACGAGATGATTTAATATGATTGAATAGGTTGGATGAAAATTTTTATCTACAACTTGTGTTCATAGAAAAAATATTATAAATACATAGACAGGACAAGTTTATGGGTCGATGCATGGTATCGACGCCGCACATGAGGGGTTGACAGTTAACAAATCTCGTTTGGAATAAATGAATCAAGTAGCGAAGTGGTAAAACGGTACAAGTCAATTTTGACTAATGACCAGTTTTCAATAAATATTTCAGAATCTAAGGGAGATAGCAAAATTGTTGTCATAACCTTTTTTGTAGAGCCGATTGAGTGCTACAATAAATGTCATTATGAAAATTTCGCTATCTCGTTCAGATTCGGAGATATCCCTCAAAAACTCAAGTGAGAGATGTCGACTTGAACCGTTTTACCACTTCGCTACTGAATCAGTCTGTCAGTGCATAAAATGATAATTTTTCGTTCATTTCCCAGTGCCCGCACTGCCCGAAGACCTTCATATCCTCCGTGTTCATGACCTCCCACATGACTCGTCGTCACTCGACTCAATCTCTCCCCACACCGTCCCCCGTCCACGAAGAATATCGCGCTGAGGCCGAAAAGCTCCACAACGAGATAAAAACCCTGAAAGAACGCCTGAACGAAACCGAGAGGATAATCCGCAGTGAATCAGGAAAGCTCCACGAGTCAATCTCCAACACGAGAGTCCTCCACTCCCGAAAAATCGAGTCCAACGATCGGCAAAAAATCGAGGAAGAGTACGAGAAATACCGCGAGGAGATGAGCAATCTCCGCAGCATTTTATTCAGTGAAGTGCGAAATATCGAGGGAACCGAGAGAAAACATTGGGACAAGCACGACGAGAGGAATGAGCTGGTGAAGCAGCTGGGAGAGGAGATCCAAAGGCTTCGCGATCAGCTGCAAACCCAAGCCTTTCAAATTTCCGACTCTCAATCGAAGCTCAACACCCAAGAGAATCAGTATTGGCAGTCGAAAATTCAGGAACTGGAGAAGCAACATCAGCTCGACATCCAGAGGCTGAACCAACAGTTGATCCTCAACCAGCAGACAACCGAGAAAATGAGGATGGATTACACGAGTAAAATCGTTCAACTCGAGGAGAAGTCCAGAAATTATGTGGACACTGTGGTCCAGAGGGAATCGCATGAGACGGGCATCGTTCAAGCGATCAGAGACGTTGACACTTCAGACACGGAAACAGATGCAAAAGTCGAAGGCGAGGGCAAGCGAGGAGAGATTGAATCGAAGAAGAAAGAAGAATTTCCAATTCCCTCGGAAATTTCGTCGGAAAAGAAGAGGCAAAATTTTGCGGCCGAACCACGCAGAATTGAAGTGAAGGAAGTCTACTCGGGGGATAAAAATCCGAAAGCGTTTGAGAGGAGAAATTTCCTGGAGCAAAATTTCCAAAAATCGGTTGATCGCTCGGGAATTCAGAGTCGAAATTTCGACGGAGATCGATTGGATGAGGAGGAGACGTCATTGGGGGGCGAGAACTCAGAGTCTGAAACAGTTTCAGAGTCTCAAATCTCTCAGAGTGAGTCGGGGGAAGACGAATCCGATGGATCTGGCGGCGTTGAGAAAGGAAATGAAAAGAGCCCCGAAGAAACGAAAATGGAGATTCAAGGGGATTTCGATCAGCGCCTGAGGGGTCTCGGCGTCGATCCAGAGTGGACGGGGATTCCCCCCTCGACTTACCGACAGTTGCTCGCCACAATGGCGCACCACCGAGCGCTGAGCGCCAAGAAGCATCGGAATTTCAAACAGATGAGGCAACAAATTTCGGAAAAACTGTCAAGTGCAGCTTCCAAAAGGCAGATTCTCCCCAAGTCCTGTGAGACTTCATCGACGAAGTCTCCGTTGAACAGACTGATGAGTAACGTTACAAGCAAGGCGATTATGGGCCTCAAGGTCCTGAAGAAAGACAACAAGCCCAAGTTTTTGTTGCGAGAGAAGGCGAACATCATGAAATTGCAGACTGACTTGCTGCCTAGAAAGTTGGATGAAGTTGCGTTCCGGGAGAGGGGAGATGCTGACAGAAAGGAAGATTCCTCAATGTTTTCACCGGTGAAGTTCAGCAGTCCTCGGTACGTCTCGAGTCCTCAGAGACAAGTGGACCCCTCGAGACAATTATTTCACTCGTACGAAAGCATCGGAGATTACGGTAAAGATTCACTGGGTCGATTCCAGGGGCAGACGAGTAATCCAATTCTAACGTCGACTCATGTCAGCCAAGGTTCGCCGAATATCTCCGGCTCGCAGGGCAAATTGGGTCAGATCGCGAGTCTACCGGGTTCCCCGAAGAACAATAAAAGTCTTCTGAAACCGATGACAGGGTCCGTTGGCAGTCTCATTAAGAAGAAAGTTTTGTTTGATCTGGACAATACTGAGGAGACGGAGAATAATTACTCCAAGAGCTCTCAAGTGTCTTCGATCTTCGAAAATAGCGACGATGGGGTCTCGAGTATTTCTGGGGAGCCAGTGGATGAAACCCCTGGAGTTTCGAAAATACAGCAGAGGGACAGGAGGATCGAAGTGAAGTCGAGGCAACAGCCCGTCGGGGGTGTTAGTCTCTGCAACAATGAAGTGTATGAAGAGATACTGGCGAAATCAGCGGAGAAAATGACGATTCCTCCACAGCCGGCACCTAGGGCATCCACTTCGGTTCATTCATCTCTTCTCTCGAAGAATTTTTCTGGGAGTAAAGAGTCCAACCTGGATTTTGATATTGAGGAGCTACTTCGCATGGATTAGTTCGCAATATGATGGGTATGAACATTCCTAGAAGAATTCAGTAGCCAAGTGGTAAAACGGGTCAAGTCGACTCATCTCCCAGTTCAGTTTTTGAAGAATATTTCCGAATCCAAGAGAAATAGCGAAATTTTCGTAATTACGTTTGTTGTAGCTCTCAATCGGCTCTACAAAAATGGTTATAACAAAAATTTTGGTATCTCCCTTAGGTTCTGAGATATTCATCGAAAACTGGCCAATAGTCAAAATTGACTTGTACTGAATTGGTGAGAGATTCTATTGGAGTTCTATTGGAACTCAATGAAAAGTTTTAGTTTTTTTTATTCGAGTTCTGTTGGAAATTGTGCAACTTTACCATAGGTTTTCAAATAGATTTTTTTAATAGAAGAAAGTAGACTATTTTTACATTTTTTATATTTTTATTCTGTTGGGATTTTTTCTGTCGTAATTTTTAGTTATTTTTCCGAGTTTTTTAGGTATTTTTCCCGATTTTTTAATGAGAAAGAACACTAAATATGCAGTGCAAAGAAAATTGACCAGTTTAGGCCCAAAAATTTCTGTAGAAAAACTCTCAAGACAATAGTTCATACAGGAATATCAAATCTTTTGAGTTTTTTCTGTCAATTGCTCATTTCAATCATTTTTAATAAGAATCAAGGTGAAAATGAATATAATTTTTAAATGAAGTTCCAATAGAATTTCTCAGGAGAAGCACTCGATTTTTCTATTGAATTTCTTCAAACATAATTATCAACATGTACCTGATCTTACCAAACATAAATAGCTATTAAGTGTTCATTGCTAAACAATAACGTAATTATCAGTGATCCTGCCTGGAATAATTATACATTAAGCGCCATAAGTTTTCTATGTAACCGAGGATTTTGTAACCTGTGACGTGGGAAGAGTTTATGAAAAATAATAATTGTGTGTGCGTATTATTTTGGTTTTTGATATTCTATTGAACAATTCCCCAACATTCCCAAGCGTTTTTTTCATGTCCAAAAGAGACTAGGGGCGGTTGGGGTAAAACGGACACTTTTGACTTTTTCTAAAATGCTAATGAGGGGTTGAAATGTTGATAAAATATAATATTTTCTTCTCAATACAAAGAACAATTCTTTCCCTTCGTGCCGACCCTACACTGAGCTCAATTGATCAATTTGTTTCTGAGTTATGAATAATAAAAAAAAAGTCCAAAGTGTCCATTTTACCCCACCCGCCCCTATTCTGTAAAAGTCAGTAGAATTTCATTTTTGCTTCCGTGCAAATATATTATATGTGGCGCGTCAGCGCCATTGTCACCCGCCAACACATCAAAAGCTGCCGCAGTATCCAGTGTCATTCGTGCAAGACTTCTTTGACAGTCAAAAATCATGTATTTTTTACAATTTTTTATACTGGCTACAATCTGCCTGAACGTGTTGTCCACTGAGGAATTCTGTTCCATCGAGAGCGGCACAAGTTGTCGAGAGAACAGTAAAAAACCCAAGATCTTAGAAGGTAACCTACAATGAAGTTTGTTTTCTGTTTGAAACGATTCTGTTTGAAACGATTTAAGTCAATTTTCAATGAATATCTTGGAATCCAAGGCAGATTGCAAAATTTTTGTCATAACCTTTTTTGTAGAGCGAATTGAGAGCTACAAAAAAGGTAATCGCAAAAATTTCGTTATCGTCCTTAGTTACCGAGATATTCATCGATAACTCAGTTAAGAGTGATTTCAATAATGAAAGCATAATGAATATTAGGTCCCCACGAAAAATATAAGGATTACTTGAAGGCCATCCAAGATGCAGAGAGTAGTTACGAGGAGTGTGAAGCCAAGAACTGCGGCTGCTTCGAACAAATTATCAGCAAGGATTTGCTACCATTCAGGGAAAAAGGAATCGATGAGCTTCTGATAGAATTATCAACATCGAGGTATTTCACATATGAACAAATTCCATTTAAAAAATTTTCATTGAAAAATTGCGTCAGGTTTTGACCAAGTCTATTGAAAAATATCGGTTTACTCCGTATTTTTTAATAGAAAATCTCCAGTTGAGATTATTCTATAGGAATTCCTCATTATGAATTTCTAAGTTTTTCCTCTCTATTGTTCTTCTTCCATTAAAAAATTCCAAAAAATAATAAGAAAGAATAAATAAAGAACAGAATATCTTAATAGAATAAATTGCACACAAAAATTGTATTCTATTGACTTTTTCTATAGAATATCTCCCCTTGAATATATAATAATTTTTCATCGTTCCTCCTCATTTTTCCAGGGGAATAACATACCAAATGATTGGAAAAAAATTGTACAGAAGTAGAGAATGTATGTTCCCCTCGAGATGCGCTGGAATAGAGCACTTTCTCTTCAAAATCATGGGGAACCTCACTGATACTGAATTCGTCGTGAACACGAGAGATTATCCCCAGTCTAATAAGTATTTCGGAGCTTCACTGCCAATATTTTCTTTCAGTAAGGTAATTAATTATAAATAAAGTTCAATATTTTTGTTGACCCTTTGTTACTCACCCGTTTTTTGAACAACTTTTTCAATGCCTTTTTTTCTTATCTAAAATTAATATAATACACATGAAAAATTTAACTGAATTTCCGTTGTTTATTGAGAAAACCCAAGAGGAAAAAACTTGGAAAATTGTTGTTTGAAAATTGTTTGATGAAGTAATTAAAAATTGCAACTTTTTGAAAATGACAAGCCTTTTCTATAAATAATTTATGAACAATCAATTTTCCCCTATAAAAATCATTTATTCGAAATCGTGACAGATTTATTCAGAATTTCACCGGAAATTGATTCAATGCCTAAAAAAATAAGATTTCCGAAAGTTTAAACAATGTCAATTATTTATTTATAATCAACGATTGTTTAAAAAAATTATAATTTTGTGAATAAAATGATAATTCTCTCACGCAATTTAATGGACAAATTCGAGAATTGAAAATGGTTTAAAAGACACTAGGATGTCCTTAAAATTACGAATTCACTGGTGTGTTTTTTTCGTAGACATCTGATTATCACGACATAATGTATCCTGCCTGGTCGTTCTGGGAAGGCGGTCCAGCGATAGCCCTGTACCCTCGAGGTCTAGGGCGATGGGATCAGCATCGATCTTCACTGAATAAAGCGAGCAAATCGACTCCTTGGGATCGAAAGGAGAATAAAGCGTTTTTCAGAGGCTCCAGAACTAGTTCTGAAAGGGACAATTTGGTGCTATTGAGCAGAGATAATCCAGACTTGGTTGATGCTCACTATACGAAGAATCAAGCCTGGAAATCAGATGAGGTATGAGGATTTTCCCCTCATTAAATATGATTTTTTCCTGATTAAAAATGACCTATTACATGAAATTATTTCACTTAATTTTGCTCTTTCACTTTTATTTTTTCGATTTTAACATTTACCAAAAATAGAATTATTATTATTGCTCGTAAAATCTTCTCAAAGATGAGTTGAGTTTTTATTTTTCATTTCACAAGACTAAAAAAATTATGAAAAAGTTAAATTTGAACAAAATTAAAAATTCGAATGAATAAAATCAGAGAACTGAATTAAAATTATGAAATGATTATTGATTTCGGTTTAGGACACTCTGCACAGACCCCCAGCTCCAGAAGTATCCCTGGAGGATCACTGTAAATACAAATATTTATTCAACTATCGAGGCGTCGCAGCTTCCTTCAGACACAAACATTTATTCTTATGCAACTCTCTGGTATTTCACGTTGGAGACGAGTGGTTGGAATTTTATTACGACGCCATGAAACCCTGGATTCACTACATTCCAGTTCCCAAGGATGCGAGTCAGCAGGAATTAAAGTGAGTCATCAAGAATGAATAAAATACACATCATCGTCTTTGCTTGACACTAGTACTCGAACTGCTGCTTATTTTGCTCTTTTGACTCGACAACAAACATGTGTTCAGAATTTACAGTGACTGCTTCCCATAATTTCTCAAGAGCCTGAAGAAGAATTTTGAATGTTGACAATGAATTAGTAGTTCGTAATTAGAGTTCTATTGCATTTTTTAAATGAATGAGTACACTTATCGTTGCTAATAAATCAGCAATTTGTTTGCGAATGGTTTCTCTTTTTTTAAATTCTTATTTCCCTATTCTCTTCTTCGATTTTTCTTTACCATGGATTCTCAAATTAAATCTAGACAATAAACTAGACACATCGAATCAATTGATAAGTGATATCAAGATAGTAGACTAGTAAACAATTTTCTCGAATACGAATATCAGTGTAGATTAACGGTAATAAAAAATGAGATAAATAATTGACTAAACGCAAATAAAAGATGAAATAAATAGTTTTTACATCTTATGTGAACTGGGTATTGTTATCAATTTTTTGAGCCATGACTAATTCCATTTTGATGACAATTTTTTGAGTGATCGTTGAAAAATTGAGTTACAATACAATTTTTTCTCCTCTTTTCTACAGAAAATTGATCTCTTTCGCCAGAGACAACGACGAAATATCTAAAAAAATAGCTCAACGAGGTAGAGACTTCGTCTGGAAGAAGTTACGAATGTCAGACGTCACTTGTTACTGGAAGAGGCTCCTCCAGGAGTATTCAAAACTGTTAAAACATAAGCCAAGACTGAGGGAGGAGTTGATAAAATTAAATAAAAAATGAAGAGACTGATGCAGAACCTTTTCATTTATTATTTTTTTATGTACACATCCAATGGAGAAAAGTTTTCCTCTCGAAAATGTCCGCCGCCGAGTGTAAAATCGATCTTCTTTCATGTAAGTACGAAGAAAATATATTACAATACAGATATCTTACAATATTGTTAATTTTATTATTATCGTTTTCAAAGCAATTGTCAATTCAATAATTAGTAAGTACTTGATTCACGACTGAAGTAGTACGAAGCGAATAAATGTGGATTAAATTATTATTCAATTGTAATACAAAGGATCAATTAATACTTTATGACGTGATTTATACGTTGATTATTATGAAAAATTGAATTGAAACAATTTTAATGGAAAAATATATTAGATTTCTATTGATATTTCAATTGAAAAAATCAGTAAATTTTTATTTTTCTATATGATCTATCCTCTAGAGACTTTTTTGTGCAAAAAAATTGCACGACAAATTTTAATCATTTTCCATTTTCTATAAAAAAATTTATTACGCCATTCATAAGTTAATTATCATGAGAAAATGAATTGAAACAATTTTAATGGAAAAATATATCAGAATTCTATTGATATTTCAACTGAAAAAATCAATAGATTTTCATTTTTCTACAGAATTTTTTAATGATGTCATTCATACGTTCATTGGCATGAAAAATTGAATTGAATTTTTGTGCAGAAAAAATTGCACAACAAATTTCCATAATTTTCAATTTTCTCTCAATTCTTTTTCATACATTTCAAGAATAAAATTCAACCGAAAACAACGTTGCAGTTAATACAAAATAAACGTGCCTTTCGTATAATTTATTAGGATAATTATAATTATCATTAGTTCATATTATACAAAAATATTCTCTAAACACTGGTATATGCATAATATTGGTTGCTTCATTACAACACATTGCTACTTCTCATACATCCTTAAAAATTACATTAACAAAAACTTACTGCGATGATTACACGGTCATAACCGAAATAGTATTTTGATACGCATGTTCGTACGATTAGCCCTTGGATTCAGAAAACTTTGTTATCGAATCTAATCACGTCTTTCAGTAGTACAACATGTGGGGATAACGATCTACCCTGGTTTCGATTAATCGGGCCGATTTTCGTCGACCGATCTGACATCACACTTGTGAAAAAATGTCGTAGGAAGACCGATTCTATTGTACGATTCTATTGAAAAAATCAATGGATTTTTATGTTTCTATAGAACTCATTCTCTTGAGATTTTTTCCTCGGATAGAAATTCCTCGGATTAAATTTTGTGGAGGAATTCCTATAGAACAGGTTTTGATAGCAAAACTGGATTTGTTCTATAGAATAGATTCTATAGAAAATATTCTATAGAAAAACTAGAATATGTTCAATAGCGAATACTCTATAGAGAAAAAAAGAATAGGTTCTGTATAAAATATTCTATAGAAAAAATCAATGGAATTCGATGTTTCTATAGAACTTCTATAGAAAATGTTACAATAGAGAAACTTGTATAGAAAGTTGAAATTTTACGGATTTTTCATATAAAATAATGTCTAACGTAAATTTTCCCTGAAAATGTTAATAATAGATTTTTCTATAGAACTAATTCTATTGAGATATTTTCTATAGAAATTCTTCGACTCAAATTATTCAAGTTTTTTTGTTCGATTTTTTAATGAAAAGAGAAGAAACAGAGTGACAAAAAATTTAGAAAATTTATTTCCAGAATTTTCTATAGAAAATGTTACAATAGAAAAAGTTCTATAGAAAAATCAAATTCAATATATTTTTTCTACAGAACAGTTTCTACTGGACATTCTCTCATTCTCAAGCCCCCTCACTAAACCTGCAGAATCTAGAATACAATCCACCAAAAACTAATAGAATTTTCAACAGAAGTCCAATAGAATAGATTTCTTTCTATTGCGTTAAAGTAATGCAATCCATTTCTCCAGGCTTTCCTACAAAATTTATTCCCCCACGCATTCATCTCAACAAAGCCCAATCACACTTCTCCACGTATGAAAAAATCGTATAGAAATTTTCTATACGGATTGCGTATAGAAAATCTATAGGATTTCCGTACATGATATTCGGATATTTCTATACGAATTCTTCCTAGGCATAAATTTTTACATGAATTTTTGTTTTCACACGAAACATGTCTAGACGCTCCAGAGAAAATCGTAGAGAAATGTCGCAACTCGTACGAAATGTTTCTAAACATGTGGCAGTGGGTCCTATAGAATCAAACCTACAGAAATCGTATAGAAATAATTTGTATAAAAAATATTCGTATAGAAATATCCGAATATCACATTCGAAAATTTTTGTACGATTTTTTCATACGAACCTCCCTCCCTCACCCCCTTCACTCCCGGAAACTCATTCATAGAGGTAGAGTGGCACACCTTCTACGCGTTATTCCCGAATAACTAAACGAAAATACATCCTATACTTAAAGGCACTCAGTCGATCACTCCTCACCCACTCCTATCTTTGATTATGGAAATAAGTTACACGTCACATGATTTGGCAGTGTAACGGTCAACTCAGATTACAATTTCAATACATTAATTTTAAATTAAATGCATGATCCTCCCTTGCGTTTTATACATTATGATGATGCTTATTACGTGAACATAACTAAGGAAATACAACAGTGGATGATTTTCCACGTATTTTCATCGTCCTGTGCAATTCATCCCGTTGATGGGAATTCGTCCCATTTACCTGTTGAATTTTGTCATTGGCGAAGACAAAAGGCCATAATTTCACGGCAATTATCACAACATAATAAATTGTGAGAAATGATAAGACATTATCTACCGAATTATTTTCGTAAATCATATCGCCTTTTGCAATATAAATAATCAATCACCAATCATGAATATTCTCGTCGATTGACAATGGAAATCGTGGAAATGGCAATGTCTCTCCTAAATTCGATGCATTAACATCCAATTGAGCGTTACCTTATGTCACCGTAAACCTCTGTAAAATAATGAGGGCAGTAACGAAGAGAGGCAAGCGGCACAATTGATGATTGAAATTGGAATGGGCTCCAGAATTTCCAGAGTCTTGATTGGAGGATGTCACAAGCTGTTCGTCAGTGCCTCCTGCAGAATTATTCCATTTCATGAATTTTCGTTAATTATCATTCACTTCTGGAGTATCGCACGACGAATATTGTCTTGAGATTTATTCATTTTCATTGCATTGGCTGAGTTGTTTGGAACTTTTATTATCCTCTTGGTTATTAATGGGCCAGACTCGGGCCTGGATTATCCTCTTTCATTTTTTTCGGACTCCACCGATTGATAATCCCGAATGAAAGTTGCTCTCTGGAAATATTTTACATTTTTATTCTACCGTTAGGTGATCCACGTACGAGATTTAATTGAAATACCTGGCCAATTCTATTGGATTTCTACTGAAGTTTCTGTCAGTTTTGGCCGATTTTATCGAAATTTTTGATTGATAATATTCTATAGAAAAGTCTATAGAAGTCTATTTTTCTATAGAGTCCTCTATAGAAATATTTTCTATACAATTTCCTCGGATTCAATTTCTTAAGTTCTATTTTATAGAAAATTCCAATAGAGGTCGATTTGCTATAGAGTTTCCTATAGAAATATTCTCTATAGAATTTCAAATCGACGACGAACAAATTTTGCTATAGAAAATTCAATAGAACTCCATTTTCTATGGAATTTCCTATAGAAATATTATCTATAGAATTTCATCGGCTCAAAAAATGCAAGTTCCATTCTATAGAAAAATCGACTTCTATTCATTTTTTTTCTATGAAATAGAATTTGAAATTTGATTTGTATTGAAATTATCTTACAATTTCTTCGGCCCAAAAATTACAAATTCTATTCTATAGAAAAATTGAGTTCAATAGAACTCAAAACTTGGAATTTGACTTCTATTGAAATTTTCTATAGAATTTCCTCGGCTCAAACTTTTACACTTTTTTGGTCAAACATTTTCATTTTGTTTTTACGATGAAAAAAGAAACAAAATGAAAAAAAAAATTGAAAAATTTGAGATGAGGAAATTCTACAGACTTTTTCTATAAAATATTTTCTATTGAACGTTTCCATAGAATCGACTTTAACCTAGTAGAAAGATCAATAGAAATCCTATAGAATTGTCTAGCGAATCGGCTAGGTTTTTATATTAAATTCTTTCGTACGTGTTGATTCAACGAGTTGTATTCTCTCTTGGAATTTCATCTCTGAGGGATGAGTAACTGTTTCAGCCTAGGTCACAAGGAAGCACAGGCGGATTTTATAGTCAGCCGTTCTGAGAGTGAATTTTGTGATACGTGATGTGAGTTCAAAGAGTTTCATTGTGGCGAAGTGAGTTGAATGAACTCTTTGGCGCCTGTATGAATTTCACGATTCAAACATGTGGTAGTTAATATGCAATTTCCAAATTTCAAAACTGGTTTCGGTTGTGCTGTTTTCACGTGCGAAAAAATTCTATAGAATATGGAAAAATTCCATAAATTTCTATAAGTTTTACAGATTCTATTGACAAATTCCATTGGGTTTTGTTTTCATGGAAAATGTTCTAGACAAAAATGAATGGGATTTTTCTATAGAACTTATTCTATTGAGATTTTTTCTATAGAAATTCCTCGGATGAAATCTTCCAAAGTCTTTCGTTTGATTTTTCTGATGAAAAGAGAAGAAAAATAGAGTGGAAAAAACTTAGCTATAGAACTTTCTATAGGAGTTCCTATAGAAAATTCTATAGAAATATAGAACTCTACTGATTTTTCTATAGAATAGTTTTCATTGAACGTTTGCTATTTGAAAAAAGCGCAGTAAAACTGGAATTATTCACTAGAATCGGCCGAAAACTAATAGAATTTTCAATAGAAATTCAATAGAATTTTCTAGATTTTTCTATGTAATTTTTTTCTGGGTGTTCTATCCAAATTCTATTGAAGATTTTTTTTGCGATCAAATGAAAATGTTGAACATGCGATAGATCATAAAGACTTCTATGAAAAAAGTTAATCGCAAAGTCTATAGAACTTTATTTTTAAAAACACTATATTTTTTTAATCAGTCTCTTGTCATTTTTTTCATAAAAAAATTTTGGGAATGAAACTTCCAAATTATTTTGATTCATTTTTTGCTTCTCATAATGAAATTAAACAAAAAAATCTTGCTCAAGATCTCTTATTTCTCAATTCGAATAAATTCTATAGAAAAATCATAATCTGTTGATTTTTTGTGTAAAATGTTCATGAAAAATATAGACAATTATTTGAATGTCAATGGAACTGAAAAAAAACGGATAGAATTTCAATAGAATTGTCTACAGAAATTTGTCACACGTGCAATAAATTTAAAATCAACTCCAGTGCTTCATTCACAAGCGATTTTATCAACTAATTTCAATCAACAGTCAAGAGTCACTCACAGAGAAATTCATAGGCCGTGCAACTGTGATAAAGTGCGAATTGAAGCGGTGAAAACCCCAAAACATTCGATAAATTCATAGCAGTGCTAGTGAAAGAGTACAGGCATTGGATTAAGTGTAAGTTCCAAATCAACACATCCGTTATAGTATTTTCTCAACCATGCACCTCTTGTGTGAACATCTTCTTCATGTCGTTCTCATCTCCGCTGGCTCCATCGTGCGATACTCCACCACAATTAGCGTAAAAATATGTATGTTGTTGACTCAAATTCGTGGGAATAGTATGGCATGCGGGGTTCGTTGAAAACACAAGTTTCAATAAAATAAGAATAAGTATCATGTGCGGAAAAATTTCCTGAAAATACCCAGCGAATTCCCTCGAAAATTCTATTGAATTTCTATTGAACTTTCCATTAGTTTCAGAAAAATTCTATTGAAAAATTTCGCAGCTCATCTGCGGGTTTTTTTTCAAGAGAAATGGTAAATGGAAAATATTTTATAGAAAACATCAAGAGAATTTGATTTTATTTTATAAGTCATTCTACTGAATTATTTTCTATAGACATTCCTCGGCTCAAATTTTCCAAGATTTTTCGTTATATTTTTTTTAATGGAAGAAGAAGGAACAGAGCGGGAAAAAACTTGGAAAATCCATGCAGAGAAATTTCTATATAAAGAGTACCAATAGAAAAGTTCTATAGAAAGATGAAATTCGATGAATTTTTTCTATAGAGTAGTTTCTGTTAGGCATTCTCCACAGAAATCCGCAGCTCATCTGCGCTTTTTTTGTCAATAAAAATGGTAAATTGTGAATATTCTATAGAAAATATCAATAGAATTTGATTTTTCTATACAACTCATTCTATTGAGATATTTTCTATACAAATTCCTCTGCTCAAATTTTCCAAGTTTTTTTGTTTAATTGTTTTATGAAAAGAGAAGAAAAGTAGAGTGTAAAAAACTTGGAAAATTCATATCGAGAAATTTCTACAGAAAATGTATCAATAGAAAAAGTTCTACAGCAAGATGAAACTCTACGGATTTTTTCTATAAAATAGTTTCTATTGGACATTCGCTAGATTTTTAAATGAAATGTTTCCGTACATTTAGATCATGGTGAAGTGAACATTCATTAAATAAAGAAATTAGAGAACCTAAATGAGAAATAAAAAAAATAACCAGAACCGAATTGTTGAAGAAAATAAAAATGCCAGTGTGACAGGAAATAAACAGAACTATTAATTTTGAGGATTATAGTTACTCTGGTTGATTCTGGATTCGATGGCGACGACCTTTCTTACAAAAACGACTTTGCAATCATAAATATTCTTTTTAAAACCAAAATTATCAATTAAAATTTTTCATTTGACTCGAATTCGCCTATGAAATAATTCTACAGAAAATCCTTACGCCTTCATTAGAAAATTCTATTGGAGTTCCATCAGAATTCCATTATTTTTTTTGTATTTTGCGTCAATTCTATTGGAAATTATATAACTTTCACGTGGATATAATTCATTCTATTAAAATGATTTCTAAAGGAATTCTTGAACAAGAATTTTCCAAGTGTTTTCTTCTTGAATTTTTTCATTAGAAAGAAATAAAAATACAACGGAAAAAACTATAAAAAATTCCCAAAATTTTCTATAGAAAAATGAAAATTTATTAGATTTTTAAAATCGAAATAAAATGATAAAATAATAATAAAATGAAATGAAAAAATAAAAATGAATAGATTTCCAATAGAACTCCACCAGAATTCCCATAGACTTCCAACAGAAATTCAATAGAATTTCTTAAAGAATGCGCTAGGTTTTTCTGTACAATTCTTTCATACGTGCAATTGAATAATTGGGAATTCAAATAACGTGCTAAACAATTCGAATAATGTCCGACAACAACTAGATCGTTTCTACTACCGCTCGACTGCATTCCACTCTCGCCTGTTCCAACTCAGCAAACAAATGTTCCATAATTTTTCACATCGCTATCTTTGAAAAAATATCAGTTTTCCAGCGAAATAATGTCGCTCCTCATATATTACCGGAAATAATCTGCGGTTGTTAGAGGCGATCCGTTCAATGTTTACGTGGAGCATTGAATAGTCACACGGGGGACGTTGCATCATTTCCGAAAGGTATTACCGGGATTTTTTAATGGTTCTTTCATTGGTTTGTCGCTGAATGCGAGTCGTGGAAATATAGAAGGGATTAGGGGATATTTTTTTCCGTTAACATCTGACTTTTCCATTCCCTTCGATTGGAATTTTTCATGATTTTTTAAAATTGCTGAATACGAAAATTGAATGCAAAATATTTGACACGTATTTTTATTTCAAACTTCTTCATTTTGAAGACGTGAATTTGTCATTTCGAATTTCTTGATCTTCGCTGATTTTTCAGAATGAAATAATAAGTATTTAATATTTTTCATGCAGTTTTCATATTTTATAATTTTGTTAAATGAAAAAAATCGTGGAATTCCTCAATTAGTCGAAGAAAATCATTTTCAATGTTTGAATCACAATGAAATAATAAGTATCTAATGTTTTTCATGCAGTTTTCGTATTTTATAATTTTGTTATAAAAAAAATAAAAAATAAAAAAATCGTTTTCAATCTCTAAATCAGAATGATAATTTCAAATGATTTTTTCAATTGCTGAATATGAAAATTGAATGCAAAATATGTAACGCGAATTTGTCATTTCGAATTTCTTGATCTTCACTGATTTTTCAGAATGAAACAATAAGTATTGAATATTTTTCTTGCGCTTTTCGCAATTTATCATTTCGATAAATAGAAAAAAATCGCGTAATTCCTCTATTAGTCGAAGAAAATCGTGTTCAATCTTAATGAGAATGGAAATTTCAGGCGTGATTTTGCACGAGTGATACCTCTCACTGATTTCGCCTCTCATATTTATTTTCACGGGGTAAATGGACGTATTCGTCAAGTACCTGCATCTAAAATGATGTCGTCAACATCGTCGTGATTGAGGTCGTCGCCGTGTTCCTCCAGATTGCCTGACCAACATGGATAACTATTCTTCCATTCCATATTACCTAGCGTACCCCGACTCGCTGATCTGCAGCCGAACCACCAGTAAGCAGTCGTCCTTGGGAAGGCAGGATCAGCGACATCCACCTGGAGACCATTAACCAATCACAAGGTTAATTACCAATTGACTCAATTACCAATCACCCAACAGAATTTTCCAATAGAATTACAATAGAACTTCAATAGAATTCTAACAGAATTCAGTAACGAAGAGGTAAAACGGTTTAAGTCGACTCATCTCTTAGTTGAGTTTTTGAAGAATATCTCCGAATCTAAAGGAGACAGTGAAATTTTCGTCAGAATCTTTTTTCTAGAGCAAATTGAGTGCTACAAGAAAGGTCCAGACAAAAATTTAGCTATCTCCCTTAGATTCCGAGATATTCACTAAAAACCAGTCAGTTGTCAAAATCGACCTAAACCACTTTACTAAAAAATGGGGTTTCCGAAAGTTTAAACAAATTCAATCATTTAATTGTAAACAACGAATGTTTAAAAAAATAATTCTGTGCAAAATGTAATTTTAGTGACGCTGAATATTCATGATTTTTCCAAATTTTTCTCACGCGATTTAACTAACAAATTTGATGATTGAAAATGGTTGAATCTATAGTATACTGTACCAAACTGAAAGATTCTTGGATATCCTTAAGAAAAAAGGGCATGCACCGCATACGGTGGTGTATCATGGAGCGCACTGAAACGCTAATGAAAATGTATTGAAGCAATTTACCGAAAACGTTCGGTCATTAAACCGGTAGTACGCCTTGTCCTTGAAGAAGTACGTGAAACCGTGGTAGGTGAGGGCTGCGTCGAGATTGTTGGGCAGTCCCTCCCAGTTCGATATGAGCTTTGGATACGTGCTCTTCACTGGGGGCCTCTGGGAGGGATCGAACCTCCAGAACTTAGTGCCTTTGTAGAAGTAGATTTTTCCGTTTCCGGTCCAGACTGTCGCTGCGTCGATGTTATCGGGGATTCCCGTGAATCCCTCGCTTATGTCTTTTGGATAGTCACCGTCCATCCTCTTGCCAACGTATCTCCAGTATTTGGAGCCCTGGGGGAAATCGTTAATCAGTTGATCAAGCGACAAAAGAGAATTGAATACCATTCTATGAAACATGAATGAACGAATCATAATTGTCCAAACTATTTAGGTCAGAGGAAAATAGAATAATTCTACTCTCTTAATATTCCGTTTACTGAGGTTTTCTTCGAACAAAGTTGACTAGAATTGATAGCTAGAATTATGGGATTATCTCACATTTTCGACGTTAAGGATAGGAGAATCTGAATGCAATATAGTGAAAATGATGATCGATTTTTTCACTTTGAACAAATAATATTAATATCCAACTACAAAATTTCTGATATGAATAAAAAGAAGCTGTGACTCAATATTCCAAATGAAGTTTTAATTTTTAATTTGGTGCTGATAACACGAGATGACAATATTTCAAGCACGGAATTATATTGACGAGATGAACAACAGATTAATTGAATTACCGTGTGAACAAACTAAAAATTGATAACAGTGTGGCCACGCACTTTTACCAGAGTATCAACAAACATTGAATCCCAGAAATTCACACTCTAAAGTGTGTTCTAGAATGAACCGAATTCAGTAGTGAAGCGGTAAACCGAGTTAAGTCGATTTTGACTATTAGCTAGTTTTTGCTGAATATCTCGGAATCTAAGAGAGATAGCAAAATTTTTCTCACGACTTTTTTTATAGCGCTCTATTGGCTCTACAAAAAAGGTCATGACAAAAATCTTTCTATCTCTTTTAGATTCCGAGATATTCGTCAAAAACTAGCCAATAGTAAAAATCGACTTAACCTGGTTTACCGCTTCGCTACTGAATTGTAATTATGATTAAAGTCTTATTCAGTGAGCGTAGGAACAAGAACATTCGCAAATCATTTATTGTAACATGAAAATTTAACAGCTGATAAATTGGGGCGTGTGATACTCATCGGTCGTATTGCTTTTTCCAATGAGAATGATTATGAACAGTTGATTGAAGAAGGGAATACCTAATTTGACAAGAAAAATGGCATAATGAGCAGGCCGACACGCGAAATGTCCAATAGGAATCGGCGAAAAGTGAATGAAATATCTGTAAAATTCCACTTGTTGTTCATACCTTGAAAAAGTAAGTTTTTCCGTTCTTGTACGTGAAAGCCGCATCGATATCTCCAGGCAGTCCCCTCCAAGAGTTGGCGATCAGCCTGGGATACCCACTGGCCACACCATCCGCTGTCAGCTTCCAGTAATGATCACCTGAGTGGAAACAACACATGAGCATAATCGACAAATCATTCCGTCAATCCCGTTAAAGTGATGTATTTACCCTTGAAGACGTATGTGTTGCCTTCAGCGGAATTGAACATAGCGTCTACTTTAGGATCTGAGCAGAGCTCTGGATCTTCCTCTCCTGTCGGTGCTACAGTCGTCTTGTGGTGAACATGCGGATCTTTACCCTCAGTTTCTGTCGTTCTAGCTCCATACAGCGCCTATACGAATCAATTCGTGCGAAAAACTTCAGTGCAAAATCGAATCGATTCAGAAAAACATTCTATTGAAATTGAATTTGTTTACTTTTTCAATTTTTATTGAAATTTATATCATTTTCTTTATAGCATTCTCAGAGGGAAAAAAAACTGGAGAATTCATGTCGAGAAATTCCCACAAAGAATTTCTCAATAGAAAAAGTGTAGAAAGATGAAATTCCCCTCATTTTTTCTATAAAATAGTTTCTATTGGGGATTTTCTACGAAAAAAACGCGCAGTAGAACGATGAAATTCTCCAATAGCATTCTTTTCATATATTCTCTATAGAATTTGCTCGACTCAAATTTTCCAAGTTTTTTTCACTCTATTTTTCTTTTCTTCTCATCAAGAAAATTAAACGAAAAAACTTGGAAAATTTGAGCCGAGGAAATTCTACAGAAAATACCTCAATAAGTTATATAGAAAACTTGAATTCTATTGACTTTTTCTACTGAATATTTTCTATCGAACATT